ATATTAGAAATGGAGTCATTTAAAAAAAAAATCACACATGGAAAAAAAATTAGCAGCAGGCTGCTGCCAGGACATGGTTTTTATTTTTTCAGAGTTTCCCTAGGTAATTCTAACGCGCAGCCAGGGTTGATAACTAGTGCTTTACATATTTTCTCCTCTTCTTTCTCTTTGGTATTTTTCAGGATTATATAGCACCATAGGGTGATTCCTTTCTTTTTTTCTTGATTTTCTTTGAAACTTATATAATAGTATCTGTGCAGAGTTTTGGAGTTTATAAAATGCTTTTAGGATCTCATTGAAACTTTACAGTAATCTTTTTAGAAAGGTATTATCATCCACATTTTGCAGAAAAGGTGGCCGAGGCTCCAAGAAAACACACATTAGATAAAAAGCGGTGGAAAGAGAACTTGCACCCAGGTATTCACAATCTAGTCTTTCATTTCTACTGAATTTCTAGCAGACACTTCCAACCACTGTTTAAATACTTGGAGGTATTCTCTGGCTACTGTATTTTCTACTTGTATAGCTTTATGCTCTGTTGGGAAAGCTTTTGCTCATTGTTTGGCCCATCCACGTGTAGGATATTCTTTTTAATATCCTAGCTCTTGACCATACTTCAGCTCTTTTGTGGTTTCACATATCAGTTATAATTTCTTTGAGTACAGTAACTGTTACTCAGCCCCTTTATTACAGCTTTTTCGTTTAGGCATGGAATATATACCCCTTTCCTAGTCTTTATTCAGCCATGAGTTCCTGCCACCAGGTCTTTGTAGTACATGCAGATCGGCTTAAAATCTGAAATTAAGGAGACATTCTTTGCTATCCAAATCTATTTGGTTTCTGAGTTTGGATCCTAAGAACTTGGATGTGAGGGAAGAACCTGGACTTGGGTTATCCTATGTTTGGCCCTTCTGTCTGGAAGGATCAGGAATGACCTATGTACAAGTTGAGCATCCCATATCCCAAAGTCCGAAATGTTCCAAACTTTGGAACCTTTTTGAGTGTTAGTCGACTTGACACTCACAGGAAATGCTTGTTGGAGCATTTTGGATTTTCAAATTTGGGGTGCTCAACTGGTAAGTATAATGCAAATATCCCCAAATCTGAAAAAATCTGAAACACTTCTGGTTCCAAGCATTTCAGATAAGGAATACTCAGCCTGTATCAGGAATAACAAACTTTCCTGTGGAAAACAGAGTCCAGGGGCTGTGTGTGGCATTTGCTACTATTCTCATTGGGTTGTCCTTCCATCCTTGATGGGAGCCCCTTTCCCTTTGCCTCCTTTCTTTTCTCTCTGTCTCCTCTTTCCTACCAGGGTTCCTGCTTCATCCTCTTGAGGAAGGAGAGTGAGAGAGTGGGTTTGGGGTGGGGTGGAGGCCATTTCAGTTATAAGGAAAATAGGTGTGAAAATCCGGAGGCTTTTGAGTTTCTTTCAAGAGCCTGTTGTTGCCTTGGCTGGCTAATACTGGGGGCCTTACAGATGAATTTGTGCTGTTGTGTTAAAAGACCTCCCCACCGGAGGTGAAGATGAGGAAGAGGACTGAATGAAGGCCACAGAGAGCTCATTTGGTCATGGCTGCATTCTGTACCCTTCTGTGGCATACTATTGCATGGACACTTTCTCTATCACTGTTTTTTCCATGGGTCATATCTATTTTTACCGTTTACCCATTTGCATGAATTTCATCCCTTACATTTCAGTTAATTATTCTTCATTAAATTAACAGGTATCCTGACAGTCAGATTCAAAAGGTGAAACTTATCTCAAGACAAGTGCTAATCATTCTTTTATTTCCAACCTCCAAATTTCACTTTCAGTTACCATCTATGAAGCCAGGTAGTCACATTTCATCTATTTCTTTCTCTATAAGTATAAATAATATTGTCCTCCTGAGTTCTTTTTTTTTTTTTTTTTTTTTTACCCAGAATCACTAGAAATAAATTTTTCATTTCTTCTGGCATAGAATCAAAGAAAATAAGTGACGATTGGGTTTACTGAGTGTTACAAGCTATATTATTCCCACAAGAGTAGCCCAACTCTTGTTCAGTCATGTCAGACCAATATTATCACATCCATTCCCCATGGGAGGAAATTACTAATGACCATTGCTTTGTTTTCTTCTTCCTGAGGTCAGGTAAAGGACTTTGTCTTGGACTAGTCAGTGTCTTTTTCCTGGGGCCTGGGATGCTGTGGCCTCTTTACTAGGACTCTATGGGTAGAAAGAACCTCATGTCTAATTTTATAGCTCTTATGTTATGTAGACTTCATCCTTTTTCTTTTCTTACCCATGTTTCCAATTCATGTTTTTGTTCTTTACTGAAGGTTGGGTGGGGGGAATGCTTTCTTTCTATTTGAAGGGTAAGGAGAAATTTTATGAAACACCATGTTTTGACTTTTACCTTATTGTTTAGTAACTATATGCTAAGGATTATCCCAGTTGAGGGGAAAATTGGAGCAATGGTCAGATTTATTAATAGTAGGATATGTAGGAGTTAAGCTGATAAGACTAAGTTTAACATTCCAAACAAATACTGTATCCAGGTTCTATAAAATAGACACAGATATGGGAGGTTTACATTCTGTTTTTCATAGAAGTGACAAGTTTAAATAATTTCTCAAATGGTATCAATACTTCTATTTACAGATGACAGTGATAATCTGTTTTTTTTAAACTACAAAAATATAGAAGGATTAATTTTAGGACATCAAATGATGTCCTAAATTATGATGTCCTAATTATGAAAAATTTGGTCAACCAAAGCAGCATCAGATATAACCCACAACATAAACCATATCATTGCTGGGAGTCTGGGTGGGGGAAGAGCTTGGGTAAAGATTTGAGATGCAGAAGTCTCATCTCATTTCATAAACCAGGAGTCACAGGTTCAGTGAGTTGCCTCAAAAAACCAGTGGTTTGTGGCAGAGTCAGGGCTTGAAGTCAGGTTTCCTGTCTCCCACTGTTTTTCTTTTTCTGTAACACATACTAAAGGATTGGCTACTAGATTATTCTATGTTTTGTTTTGTCTTGGGGAGAGATAAATTAAATTGTCCCCTGGGTATCTGCAGTGGAAGAAGTGACCATTGTAAGGAGTAAAAAGAGGCAGAAAGAGGAGCTTTTGTGTATGTGCATTGAGGTTTTCTTTTCCCTAACTTTCCTTAAGTTTGTGATGTAGTGATTGAGGGTGGGGCTGACCCAGAGCAGTTTTTGCCCTAGTTACGGAGGGTTGTACAAGTCCTGTTGCTTGTTTAGTTGTGCCCAAGAAAAATCTTGTTAAGCAGCCTTAGCATGATGCCTTAGTACACAGCAATTGGTGAATAAGTGCTGGATGAATTGAAGCGATAATGGTAAGAAGCATAAGTAAATTTAATGCAATCTTGATAATTAAATATTGTCTCCACCCTAAAATTTGAATGGACGCTGTATATAAAATATCTGCTTTTGGTACATAGAGTTTGATTTCAGTTGATTTGTTTTTCGGGATGTATATGTTGAGAACTCCCCCCCCCCCACTTCCCATTCATTGTAAGTAAGAAAGAGAGTGAGTTCTGACAGAAGCTTGCCCTCTGCTTCTGGCAGTTTGCATGACCCAACTACATGCAGTGAGATTTGTCACTAGCCTGCTACACCTGAGACTTCTCTTGGCAGTTGTCCTCTGCTTCCTCCACAAAACACACAGTACAAAACAAACTAAAGAGGACAGGTTCCCTACCTTCCTGTCTGTAGCTTATCTGAATCCATACCTATCTTTGCATCCTTCTCTTCTGTCCCTCCACCTTCTGTTTAAGGCTAATTTCTCTACCTCTTTTTGAGTTAGTCCCTCCTTCTCCCCTTACGGAAGAATTATCTTTCTTCAGGTACCTCCTGTTAGCTTCTTCCCTCAGCATGGAGGTCCCTCTGCTCTGTAAGTCCCCTCTCCAGATGGTCACAGCATCCTTCCCCCTTTCTTTTACAACTAAGCTTCTTCGATATAAAGAATGATCTTCTGGCAGTTAGCCAGTTCCTTACCTTTTCTTCTCTTTTAGTTGTCTCTGATCAGTATTCTCCTTCACTGAGATTATGTGGGCAAGCAACCTCTTCATCTGTCATTCCACAGGACTGTCTTCGTGCCTATCTTACCTGACTTTTCTGCAGTAGGTTACATTGTTGCTTTCATCTCTTTGGAGGTTTGTCACCCTTACCTTGTATAATGTCACTCTTTGTTGAATGAGTGATGAATCTTGAGGCTGTAATGTATCTGACATAAAAGTTTAGCATTTTAGCAAAATCTACTTAAATAAATCTTATTGTAAAGCTTGAAACAAAATTTTTAACCACTTTGTTATATAAGTAATATGTAGTCATTGTAGAAAATTTGGAAAATACGAAAAATGAAAATAAAAGCACCTGTAATTCTTCTACCCAGAGATAACACTTAATATTTTGGTACATGTCATTTTAGAACCTTTTCTTTGTATATATATGTCTACACACATACATAGAATTTTTTGAGAATACATGCACACTTCACATTGCTTATTTATAACTTTTCTTTTACTTAATGTAGCTGTATTATTTAGAATGGTTATGTCATGTCGTTGTACCGTAATTTATTCAATCAATTCCCGTTTTTAAGATGTTCAAGTTATTACCATTTTTTTCCTATTATAAACAGTGATGCATATCTTCTTTGAAGTCATTTTGTTAAAAAAAATTATTTGCATAGATTTAAGGGGTACAGGTGCAGTTTCTAGAAGTCTTGACATGCTGTTCCAATGGTTTCCTTTAGATGTGTTCCTAAAAGTAGGATTGGTGGATAAGTGTATTTTAAGGTTTTGGTACATGTTTCTGGGGGTGAGGTTTTACAGTAAGCATCTGTTTTTACATTGCTGTCCTTCTGGGAAGTTCTCTCTAACACCCTTGAGATCTTTATCCCTCTTTGGGATTACAAATATTAATAAATAGTTTATCTTTAAAGCCAGAAACTCACAGCTGTGCATGTCGATTTATTTACCTGTGTAGAGTATCGTGTCAAAGAATGCACTGCAGTATCGGGGTAATTCCCAGCATGACGCCCAGGAGTTTCTGCTGTGGCTTTTGGACCGAGTTCATGAAGACCTCAATCATGCTGTGAAGCAGAGTGGCCAGCCTCCTCTGAAGGTAGGGACACAGCCTCCTCTGAGGCAGTCAGGGAGCAGTGAGCATCAGAGAACAGAGTAAGGAGAGAGTGTAGATTCTTCTCCTGTGTATTTGGTTAATACAGTGAAATTGACTAACTTCTGGGTGAGTATAAAATTCATTGGATACTTAAAGACTATTTTACCTTTTTTACTACTGTGTTGGCAATGTAAGATACAAGAGACACTGTCCCCAAGGGACTTACAGTCTAAGGAGAGGGGAAACACTTGCATATATGACTATCTTTAGATTATAAGTAATTCCATCTTGCTAAACTGTTTTTAAAGCAGAATACATTTACTTTCTATTCTAATAAGACATGCCTTAGAGATCACTAGAATGAATACATAATCAGAAAGGAAATGTGTGGATGTCTCTGCTGTTAGGATTGTATTTGAGCATAGGAACTGAATCCCCACAGGGTTCTTACTGAGAAATGTAATGATTGATTGAGTCATTCAATTTTTATACTTGTAGCCTTAATGTGATGGATAAAGTGATTTATATAATGGAAAATAATTAAGACTAAAGAATTGCTTCCTCCAAGCAGCTTTTAAAGTTTTTTGATAAATCTGCTGTGTACTTCCAATTTTAAATTTCTAGTTTTGGTAAGTTGTTAAATTATTCTGATTCAAGGTCCTTTTGTGCCTGAACACTCTATACTGTCATATGACTATATGCGTGTGGCTGACTGTCCCACCAAACTGAGACATCCTCAAGGTCAGGCACTGTGTCTTACTTATTCTGCATCCTAATGTCCTGTACAGTGCTCTCTGCATGTGATAGCAGATGCTCAGTAACTGTTAGACGGAGGGACATAAAAAGGTTATATAAATTATGAAGTTATGAAATAGAGTGCGATTAGGCACCAAAATGAATAGCACAGCTATTACGTGCTTGAGAATTTAGGTATTGGAAGCATCAGTGCTTTCAAAGTGATTGGGGATTACTTTCTGGAAGAGGTTGGGTGGGGGCTTTGAGCATTGGAAGGAGAGTGGAGCATCCTGGGGAAGGAGAGCTGCTCTGCTGCCTAAGTTGGGTAGAGAGATGGATAAACATGGTCAAATGCAAAGTCTGTTTGAGGAGATGAGTCCAAGTGATCCACGTCCTGTCTGCCGTGTTCTGGTGACTTTAGCAGGTACTTGTCACTGAAGCTTCGGGACTTGGTGCAGAGCATGTAAAGGAAGTCAAAGACCCTTGTGACTTTTTAGGTTCATCTTCAATCAAGAATTGTTACTTCTGGGCTGTGAAATTATGCTTTCTTTTTTTTAGCCACCATCAGAGACTGATATGCCCGAGGGACCATCTTTTCCTATCTGTAGCACTTTTGTACAAGAACTTTTTCAAGCCCAATACAGGTATGAGCAAATCAAATGTTCCTTCTTATTTTGTTTAATTGATGTAGTTAGGTGATCTTAATGTTTGTGTCTTACCTTTTTATTTTTGAAGATCTTCTTTGACATGTCCTCATTGTCAGAAACAGAGCAACACTTTTGACCCTTTCCTCTGCATTTCTTTGCCAATTCCTCTACCCCATACAAGGTAAGAACAGATTTAGTAAAAATTCAGACTGTTTGTTCCTACAGTGTTCCTTTTCCTCTGCAGGCTCTAATTATTAGGTCTTATTACTTATTTGGACAAGTAATGGGGTTAATGATAAGTTGAAAACAGACATTGTTACAACCTTACAAAAATAAATGCCTGTCTGAGTTTGCAGGGTGAGTGGCCACATGAGACTAGCAAACAGGTGCTGTGGTCTGGTTCAGTCTGCCCTCCACAGATGGTATGGGGGGAGATGGGAGGGTGGTTGGGTGACTTTTAAATTCTCTAGAGACTTTATATTGCATTCTTATTTCATAGTTGCTTTAAAATGTTTCTTAAAATTTCCAGGAGTTAAAGAAAAAACAAAGCACAGAACCAAATATGGATATATTTTGTTTTATGAAGATTGCCTTTTCCAGAGGTGTTGATTATTGTTTGATAGTTCTACTTAGATCCAAATGAAGATTTTTCATTTGGCTTTTAAATAAAGGTGTGGGTTAGCTTTAGTCTTGTGATTTCAGATCAAGCTTGTTTTGCTTCTTCTATATTTTAGTTGACATAAGTGGCTAATGAGAAGATCTGACTTTGATCTGTACAGGCCTCTCTATGTCACTGTAGTGTATCAAGGGAAATGTTCTCACTGCATGAGGATTGGTGTGGCTGTGCCTCTGTCTGGGACTGTTGCCAGACTTCGGGAAGCAGTGTCTATGGAAACAAAGATCCCCACCGATCAGGTAATAAGCCTGCTAAGACTTATCACACATGAGCCACAAAAGTATTGCTTTCTGTTCTGGAATTTTTTGCAGTTATCTGCCAAATATGGTTAGATAGAAATTTAAAACCAGTTGTATTTAGTGTTGAGGGGGAAAAAAAATCAAGACTTAAAAGAGTAAAATGTAAAGAAACTTTTCATGCTTCATTTAATTTTATATGTGTTATTTTTTAAAAGGCAAAGCTATGACTTTACACCAAGACCTTCTTACAGCTTTGTTTATAAAGTATAAATACTTACCCCCTCTTAAATCATTCTTAGGGATGCATGTACGGGCAATAGAGTGTCCCTGTGGTATTTGACAGTTAAATAGACTTAGAAAATCCGAGCAGTGACACTAGAAACCCCTTCCCTGTTATAGTGATAAGAATAAACTTCTTGCTAGTATAATGTTCTCTGCTTAATAAATGCTCAGTGCATTTCATTTTGTTATTAAAGCTGTGCCAGAGTCTCTTACCTCGTTCAGATAACAGAAAGGAAAGTTGTACCCCTGCCACTTTTTGGGGTATGTCTTTGATTAAGTGGTTACATTTAAATTGACGAAAATGCTTTGGCCTATTTGTGACTTGACATTTTTTTGCATACGGTTTTTATTCAATTCAGTATTATGGTTTTATTTGGGAAAACATTCTTTATTTAAGATTTATTAAGAAAAGATGACTCAGTGGCTAAATAGCTTTTCCCTAGATAGCTTCTGGAAATGGCTATGTAATCACTGAAATAATAAAGGTGTTTTATACTTCAGCCTCAGGTGGCCCTGTTTGGGAAGTTACCACAGTAAAATAACAACCAGCAGTGTTGCCCTAATATAGCAAATATCTTACATTTTCACAGGCCAAGTACTGTCACGTTGATGAAATGTTCATATTCTTCTTTACTCTGAAGAGCTCATTGATTCTTTTTTTCCCCTTCAGGATGAGGGGAGAGACAGAACAACAGGGAGAGAGGCTTTGGTAGTGTCCAGAGCAAATCTGCTCGTATCTTTGAAGCTTCTAGCGCTGTTTGGCTTTTTTTGCATGTGGTTTAAATTGGTGAAATAATTACAGGTTTTCTTTCGACCTCAGCTTGCTGAAGAGAGTGAATTTTACTTGCATGTGTTCACCAGCAGAAAAACAACATGATTATTAAATTCATTAGAAGGAAAATGTGCCAGGAACATTTTTGCTGGCCTATTTGTAGAATATGCCACTAACCCCTTTTATCTTGTAGATTTTCAGAATGTTAGTGCTGGTAAAAGAGACCTTGGGGGTCCAGTCCAATCCTTCCTCATTTGAATGAGGCTCAGAGAAACCAGGTGACATGTTGAAGTCCACAGGGCTGGTTGGTGGCAACATGGTTAGAACCTCCTCCTCATGCCCAGTCCAGTGCTTTTTCACTAGGCAGTGCTACTGAGCGTGTGCTGAAGTCTTTAAAAGTCCCCGTTGTTTTTCTCCACATCTTTTGTCTTTCTGTTTTGTTATAAAATTCTCAACCATTTCAGAAATACATAAAGTGAAAGTATTTCATATTAAATCTCTTAGTACTAAGGGTTACTAACTTTAATACTGTTATATAGTATTTATTCACATTTTTTTCTATGTATATACTACATTATTTTATAAAAGTGGAATCATTTACAAATATTGTTCTTGCTTTTTATTTAGTTAGATCTTTCCATGTTAGTGCAAATAATATGTAGCTCATTCTTCTTAATAACTTTATAATTTTAGTAGGGCTATGATATATTTAACTAGTTACTATTGTTGGACATTTGGGTTATTTAATTTTTTTTCCAATGCAGATATCTATGGGTATTTGACATATTTAACCTGAAAAGAGGGAAATAATGGTGGAGAAAGTCTCAGAGTCAGATGTGGACTCTATCCTTGACATGAGACTAGATAAGTGTAGAATCTTAGGCAAGTCTGTAGACTTCTCTTCTTCAGTGAATCAAAGGGGTTAGACTTGATAATCTCCTGGGTCTCTTTTACACAAACATTTAGAGGAACTCTGGATTTAGTGCCATGAAATTCTGAAGTCAGAGTACAGATTTCTCTGGGGGATTGGTTCTAGCTCCCCCTGAGGATACCAAAATCCATGATGCTCAAGTCCTTTATATAAAATGGCATAGTATTTGCATATAACCTATGCATATCCTCCCATATATTTTAAATCATCTTTGGATTACTTGTAATACCTAATACAATATAAATGTTATGTAAATAGTTACACTGTATTTTTTCTGAATGATCATAAGAAAAAAGTCTTTATATGTTCGGTATAGACGCAGACATCCTTTTTTTTTCTTCTAAATATTTTCACTTTGTAATTGGTTGAATCATGGCTGTTAAACCCATGGATATGGAGGGCTGCCTATATATTGTTATACAATTACAGAGGGTATTGTGCTTCCAAGCTTCTCTCATTAAAGGCAGATAATGCGGGCTCTATGAGACGTTTCAGAGCTCTCTCATACACTGCAAATCCTGATGGTCTGGAGAAATTCAAAGAATTGGGAAATCAATTAGTATTAAATTTCTAGTTATCCAACTATTTACATGTTTCCTATTTTTAGATCGTGTTAACGGAAATGTACTATGATGGGTTCCATCGTTCCTTTTGTGATACCGACGACCTGGAAACAGTCCATGAAAGTGACTGCATTTTTGCCTTTGAAACTCCCGAAATATTTAGGCCTGAAGGAATTCTCAGTCAAAGAGGTAAATGAGCACCTGTTTCCATAATGCCACCTGGGTTTCCAAGTTTTTAGATGTCTGTTATGTGATGTTATATACTTTTAAAAAATTGGGGTAAATATAATACACATTTTTTATGATGGTGTAAATTTTATGGTAACATTTTTCCCTAGAAGAAGCTGGCTTTTAACTGTGTTAGGCAAAGATTATGTCCATGGTTGGTATAGCCCTTTTCTGAGACTCAGGACTGTATCCTGTCTTTTTTTTTTTTTTTTTTTGAGACAGAGTCTCGCTTTGTTGCCCAGGCTAGAGTGAGTGCCGTGGCGTCAGCCTCGCTCACAGCAACCTCAAACTCCTGGGCTCGAGTGATCCTTCTGCCTCAGCCTCCCGGGTAGCTGGGACTACAGGCATGCGCCACCATGCCCGGCTAATTTTTTTATATATATATCAGTTGGCCAATTAATTCTTTTTTTTTTTTTTTTTTTTTGAGACAGAGTCTCACTTTGTTGCCCAGGCTAGAGTGAGTGCCGTGGCGTCAGCCTAGCTCACAGCAACCTCAAACTCCTGGGCTCGAGTGATCCTTCTGCCTCAGCCTCCCGGGTAGCTGGGACTACAGGCATGCGCCACCATGCCCGGCTAATTTTTTTATATATATATCAGTTGCCAATTAATTTCTTTCTATTTATAGTAGACGGGGTCTGCTCTTGCTCCAGGGCTGGTTTTGAACTCCTGACCTTGAGCAATCCGCCCGCCTCGGCCTCCCAAGAGCTAGGATTACAGGCGTGAGCCACCGCGCCTGGCCGTGTATCCTCTCTTAAGTGTACTTTTTGGCATATTATGATGGCACTTGGGAAGATATACTATGCCATTGCTTTTTTTTTTTTTTCCCTTTTTCTTTTTTGTATTTTGCTACCAGCTCTTATGCTTAATTTCTAAATTTTTTTTTTTTTTTTGAGACAGTCTTGCTCTTTCACCCTGGATAGAGTGCAATGGTGTGATCATAGCTCACTGTAACTTCACAACTCTTCTCCTACCTCAGCCTCCCAAGTACCTAGGACTGCAGGTGTGTGCCACCACACCCAGCTAATTTTTCTATTTTTGGTAGAGATGGGGTCTTGCCCTTGTTCAGGCTGGTCTTGAATTACTGAGCTCAAGCAATCCTCCTGCCTCAGTTTCCCAGAGTGCCAGGGTTACAGGCGTGAGCCACTGTGCCTAGCATTAATTTCTAAATTCTATAACTTTGCTGTAGAATGTTTTCTTGATACTTGCTTTTATGAAATTTGCATGTAACTCTTTACTGGTAAGTAGCAAAAATACAGAAAAACAAAACTGGACAGTATTGTTTCTTTTACTGCAGTTTGGGCTCTGATTTGGAATCTAGCTTGTCTCTCCACTGTGCTTGTAGGGTTATGGGGCTATTCTGATTTTGAGAGTTGCCAGGCAACTCAGACTTCGTTCCTGGCCTTAGTATTCTTGAAGGTTCTTCCTGGGGTTCCTCAACATCAGCGTCACCTGGGAACTTGTGAGGAATGCAAATTCTTGGACTCTATCCCAGATCCATTAAATGAGAAACTCTGGGAGCTGGACCCAGCAATCTGTTTCTAACAAGCCTTCTAAGTGATTCTGATGCAATCTAAAGTTTGGGAACTACTGCTCCACCAGTCTTGGCAGTATTTTCTACTGCTATGACTTTTAGAACTAAATTCTACCACTAGCCCCCACTTTTCTTCAGGTTCTTATTCTGTTGCCTGACTTCCACCTGTCCACTGGAATTTCTTCTTAGAAGTCCTACAGGCCTCTTACACTACACATTTCTTTCTTAGACCAGTTTATTCTGTGGAATAATGGTACTACCATCCTTCACTCCAGCTGTGTCGAGGCTTTGTGATTTCTTCCTCAAAATTCACACTAATGGCACACTGCATTTTTCCTCATCCTTGTACTGCTACTGACACAGTTCACACAAGTCTAAACAGAGCTTTTCCAGTAATTTCTTTTGTCTATACTTTGGGCTTTCTTTTTTTTTTTTTTTTTTTGAGACAGAGTCTCACTTTATTGCCCAGGCTAGAGTGAGTGCCGTGGCGTCAGTCTAGCTCACAGCAACCTCAAACTCCTGGGCTCAAGCGATCCTCCTGCCTCAGCCTCCCAAGTAGCTGGGACTACAGGCATGCGCCACCATGCCCGGCTAATTTTTTGTATATATATATTAGTTGGCCAATTAATTTCTTTCTATTTATAATAGAGACGGGGTCTCACTCTTGCTCAGGCTGGTTTCGAACTCCTGACCTCGAGCAATCCGCCCGCCTCAGCCTCCCAGAGAGCTAGGATTACAGGCGTGAGCCACCGCGCCCGGCCCTATACTTTGGGCTTTCTTCTGTCCAGTTATTTCTCCACAGTGCCACCAGACTTATTCTATTACATAGTTCTGATCATGTTACATGCTTATTGATTTACCAGTGGTTCCCCTTTGTCTAAGATTAGATGTAGACACCTTGGAAGAATGCATGGCCCCTTGTAATTTGGTCCATGCCTGCCTTTCTGGCATCTCTACTACATTGTATTTCCTTCCCCATGTACTCTTTTCCAGGTTTCTCTCTATTTCAGAAACAGTCCTTGGGCTTTTCCACTTTTCTTAGTGTTTGCTCTGCTGAGACTTTCTTCTTCACCTCCTGTCTCATTGGCTATTACTTTGTCTCTCCCAGGTTTCTAATCTCTCCATCCCACCTAGCTCTAAGCAACTATTATTCTGCTTTATGTTTCCATAGATTTCCCTAGTTTAGATTTTCCTGTGATTAGAATCGAATAATAGGTGGTCTTTGGTGACTGGCTTTACTTAGCATATTTTCATGTTTCATTCATGTTGTGGCATATATCATATGCCATTTCTTTTTATGGTTGAATAATATTTCATTGTCTGGATATATCACATTTTGTTTATCCATTTGTTAGTTATGGATTATTTCTACCTTTTGGCTATTATGAATAACGCTGCTGTGAACATTCCTGGCAAGTTTTTGTGTGGACATATGTTTTCACTTCTCTTTAGTATGTACCTGGAGTGGAATTTCTGGGTCATATGGTAACTCTATGTTTAATCATTTGGGGAACTTCCGGACTGTTTTCCGGAGTGGCTGTACCATTTTACATTCTCATTAGCAGTGTCTGAGGATTTTAATTTCTCTACATCCTTGCCAACACTTTTTATTATCTGACTTTTTGATTCTGGTTATCCTACTCAGTGTGCAGTGATACCTTGTTATGGTATTGATTTATATTTTGTGAATGACATTGAATACCTTTTCATGTGCTTATTGGCCATTTGTATATTATCTTTGGAAAAATGTTTATTCAGGTCTTCAACCCATTTTTCAATTGCATTATTTACTTTTTGTTGAGTTGTATAGACATTTTTATATATGCCAGATACTAGACTCTTATTAGATATATGACTGGCAGATATTTTCTTCCATTCTGTAGGTTCTTTTCACTTTCCTGATAATGTGCTTTGATACATAAAAGTTTTTAATTTTGATGAAGTCCAGTTTATCTATTTTTTCTTTTGTCATGCTTTAGGAGAAATCTTCAAGGAGACTAGATGTGAGTGATACAATTATGTGAAAAAAATACAGTGTGGTCAATTTTTAAAATATATTTATGTAGCTATATGGAAAAATACTATATAGAAATACATCATCAAGCAGAACCTTGGAGGTAAAAAAAAAAAAAAAAGAAATACATCAAAATGCTAATAGCTACACCTGGGTTTTGGAGTTACAGGCAATTTTGATTATTTTTAAAATACTTTGGTATATTTTTAAATTTTTATAATGAACATACATCACTTTTGTAACTAGGGAAAAAGCATTTTGAAAAAGGAAGTAAGATGAAAGCAGTAGAAATTATTAAAAAGCATATTTGTATTTATTTATATTTAATACTTAATGTTAAATTATAAAAAGATAATTTGAGATTAATTAGATCATTACATATTGATAATGGTTGTTAATAATGAAGAACTTCCTAAGCTGACTAGCAGCAGCAGCAAAATACATAATTTGAAAAAAAAAATGAGAAATTATAAAAAAGAAGTTCTCAGTAGGAGTTTTTTTTAAATAAACTTGCCATTGTTTCCCTGTTAAAAATTAGATTAACATTAAAGACATAGAAGATATGGATAATATTTACATACTTAGGTAGAAATGCACTATTACTAGTGTTAGTGAACTAGGAGTAAACTAAGCAATAAAGAAAATCTGAATAAATCTTTAAAATTTTTCAATTTAGAGGATAAATGGAGCACAGGATATAAACAGAAATACATAAGTGTAAGGAAAATGAAAACAAATTTTAAAAATCTAAGAATAAATAAATGTAATTAAGAGCTATTTTAGATAGTAAGGAAAATAGAAAATACATATAAAAACCTCTGGAAGACAGCCAAAATAGTGCTTAGAGACTATGTGCAGAGCTTTAAATACTTTATCAAACCATTAAAGGATAAAAGAGAAAATTAAGCATTTAATTTCTGATTGTAGGGGGAAAAAAGCCAACAAAGAAAAGTAGGAGGAAAAGAATAGAAATGAGAATTCTGGGAGTCCTCCTAGGCTTGGTTTCTTAACCTACTTCCTGCTTCTGTTGTGTCTGTCTTTGTCCCCCACTTCTGTTATCACTGCTGTCTCTTCAGATCATCACTTTTGTCTTCATCTTCATCATCAGTTGTTTGTCTTGTTTCCAGCAAATCCTCATTTCCCTTCTTGTCAATACTGATCTTTCTGAACCCTAAATCTGATCTCTCTATGTTGAACAACTGGCACCTCATTGCCTGTTGTACAAAAAGATATAAAGATCATTGGAAACCAAGAATGCGGGAGGTTAGGAGGGGGAGTGGGAGTAAAAACTTACCTATTGGGTACAGGGAACACTGATATGGTGAAGAGCACATTAAAACCTGGCTTAAGCATTATACAAGGTATCCAGATAACAAACATTTGTATCCTCTTAATATTTTGAAATAAAAAAAAATAAAGTGGTTATGAAGTGAAATCTGTTCTTTTTGTGATTTCTTTGTAGTGTTAAGCTTAAAAAGTTTTCTTCCCTCTGGCAGCTTAAAAAAGATTCAGTTTTTCCTTATTTCTAGTTTGTGTGTTTTAAAACTGTCTGGAATTTATGTTGATATTAACTATGTACTCACTATTGTTTTAAATTGTTATAATGCTGAGGTATCTTAATAGGCTCAGCAAGTCTTGTATTGCTGGAAATTCAGGTTATTGCCTGAATTCTGCTATGAATATGTCTGTGTAAATAATTTTTTATTTTATTCTCTTTCTGGTGTTATTATTATTTATGGTAGTGGTGGAAGGGGCTTCTTTTTTCTCTTCTCCATTTAGGGTACCATTTCATTAGGCCGTACTGCCAAAGGATTAAAGAAATGAATAGATATTTTAGTTAGGCTTTATTAACTTCCTACTAAGTGCAGGGTGTTGTGCTAGGTCTTGAATTGCTAGGTAGCTTTGATGGGGATCTCTGTTTTGGGGCATTTCTGAAGATGAGTACAGTGCCTGTCAAACTTATGTTTTTGTTCACTTTAATGTGGGTTGATTCAGTCTAGTTGATTGTATTCATGTTGGCCTTTTCTTATAATGGCTCTGAGTCTAGTAAGTATAGTTTATCTTTTGTTTCTTATAAGTTTGGCTCATTAATCAGGGAGAAGAAACTGCCGTTGAACATTGAAGACCATTCCACATGTTCTTATCTTTATTTTTTTAACAATGTATTTGCTGGTTACATGGTCTCACTTTAAATTTTTTTTGGTGGATCATTTCAGCATACTTGCCCTTCTGAAATTTTATCTAACATTCACGTAAGTGTAGAGTTTTAATTTTCAGCTTCTAAGATAGGTAGGGCTAGTTTAAAGGAAATAATGGATGCTAAAGAAAGTATGTTAATGGCTAGGTGAGTAATCTGAGTATGTGTTCCCTTTTTTTGATTGCAGTTTAAATTACATAATGATAATTTTTTATTTTCTCTGTTGGGTAAATTTCTTTCTAATGAATGAATGAATGAAAAGAGTTTTGAGGGGATAAAATGAGTTGTTTTTATTCTTTTTTAGGAATTCACTTAAATAACAATCTAAATCACTTGAAATTTGGTTTGGATCATCATAGACTGTCTTCCACTACACAAACTGCAGCAAAGCAAGGGAAAATGGATTTGCCCCCCACAAAAGCAAGAAGCGACAAGATTGTTCTGTTGGTGTGCAACCGAGCCTGCACTGGGCAGCAAGGGAAAAGGTAAAAACCAACTTATTTCCCAATAGGTACTGAGACTTTAAAAGTCTAATATTTTCAAGCATTTTGAAAAACCCTTACTTCTTAGTAGTTAATTTTTGATTCTGATATTTAGAAAAATATATGTACAATTTAACCTGATTTGGGGAGTTGGGAGGGTGAGAGTATAAAATTAGGGTGATAGAATATGGGTTAGAAAGGTTCAATTTAAAGGCTCATTTCATATGTATATTTTCAGTTTAGTCTTCCTCCTGGGGCTCTAGACCTATATATCCAGCTACTTTCTTGGCAGCTTTTTTTTTTTTTTTTAAACTCTTAACATATGTACTTGTATGGTACATGCCCCTCAGTCTTATGTCCCAAAGTGAACTCATTATCTTTCCCTATAAAGCTGGCTTTCCAGTATTTCCTGTCTTGGCAAATGACACCACTATTCATTCAGCTTCGTAGGTCAGAAATCTGGGAGTTGGAAATCTCTGTCAAATCTGTCTGCTGCCCTCTCTAAGAATTTGTGAGTGTTTTAGACTATTTTTTAAAGTAACCATATCACAATAGTAATGTAACCTGAGTAATAACAAGAGACAGATATGTTTCAGGAAGAGAGGATTCTGTTTCTGATATTTGTCAGGCTAGCCTTTGTATTAGCCTTTTAAAATTTTGCTTTGAAATAAGTTCCTTGCATGGTAAATAACATAAGATATGCTGATATGTGTCTATGAATTCCATTAACAAATATTTTGGTGTTTATAGTGTGGTGGGCACTGTTCTATAAACACCGGGATACAGCAGTGAACAAGACACACAGGGTCAGTGTCCTTATGGAACTTACATTCCAGTTAGGACAGACCAACTATGAACAAACAAGTAAACACATTTAGCTTTAGACAGGCCTTTAAAACCATGTTGAGACATTAAAACAGGCTAGTCTGGTAGAGTGTGATGGTGGAGATGCTGGCAAGACTACATGCAAAAGGTCAGCTCAGGCGTCCCAGAGGAGGCCGCTGCTGGGCTGAGCCCTGGTGAGCTGTGTGAATATCCAGGGAAAGGACCTCGTGGAGAGCCCATGCAAACACACCAGGACTAGGTGAGCTTGGCATGACTAAGGCATAGAAGGGATGAAATAGCCTGTGGAATCCTCTTCATGATGCTAGTCTCTTAAGAGTAAGACATTGTCTTGCGAAAAATATGGTTGGATGGTTTACAGGTGCTTGTAGCTCATTTCACACCACAGTTCTCTGTTCTCTGTTAGGGAATATTGTGAGTGAGCAATGCGATGGTTATTAGGAGCTGGTTTCTTGGTGATCTTAGCACCTCTGCTTCTGCCTAGGCCTAAGTCAGCGTTCCTCTGTTAGTTAGATCATTCGTTTGTTCATTGGTTATCTATATTCTAGGCATCGGCTATTTGGGCTACTAAGATAAAGAAATCACAGTTCTTGCCACCAGCTAATTTAGTCTGTTAGTGGAGGCTTGAACAGGCAGTGTTTATAGCACAGTACACACAGAGACCAAACCAACAGGATGCTTCCTGGAGGAGAATACCTCCACTGGGTCTTCATGTGGATGAGTAGGAGGTAACCTGGAAGAAGAGTGAGGAGGATATTCCAAGCTGAGGGAATTCCCTGCACAAAGACATGGATTTGTGAGAGTAACACACATTCAGGAGAAAGTAAATAGGTTTGGATGATTGGGGCATGGATGAGAGTTGAGCCTAGGCTAGTGGTCCTCAACTTAGGTTGCATTGAGAACCACCTGGAGGGCTTCTAAAAAATCTCAGTGCTCAGGTCACATTCCAGACTGATTTCATCAAAATCTCTGGGGGCTGGATTTGGGCATCATTATTTTCTAAAGCTCCCTTGGTGATGTCAGTGTGGAGTTAAGGTCAAGATCCACAGTACTGCCTCCGATTCTCTAGCACCTGGTAGAGGCCAACTACCATCTGGGCTAGGGTAGGAGCTGACTTTCAGTGTCACTTGCTTGGCAGTGCCTCCCTTGTTGTCATAGACTACCTGTTTGCTAGGCTTTCCAGCGCTATCTATTCCTCTGGCACCCAACCCTTTTAGGTGTGACCCACTCCATTTTCTACACTTGCATCCACCCCCGCCCCCTTTCCATACCATGTCCACTAATCCTGCCCTCTTGCCACCTATTATCATGGCATCATACTTCCCTAGAAGACATTTTGGTGTATGAGCTAATAAATTTCGTTTAGAAATCTAAGCTGTTCATCTCTTTATATTTTCTGTTTATATTTCTCTTTATATTTTCTGTTCTTTTATTTTGAGAACTGTCCTAAAAGCAGTTATATTGTGAATCCATTTAAAAAGGTCAAGAATAAAGGATTATAGCATTAAAGGAATTGCCATACTTTTAAGGTGATTACAATGTTTGTGTGCTTTAGATTTGGACTGCCTTTTGTGCTGCACTTAGAGAAGACAATAGCATGGGACCTTCTGCAGAAGGAAATTTTGGAGAAGATGAAATATTTCTTGAGGCCCACAGTTTGCATTCAGGTTTGTAAGCATTTTGATATTCCAGCATAGCATGTGTGTATACCCAGTAAAGAAACAGTCATTACAATGAAATTTGAATTTCTTGAGTTCAGACTTTCAAGGTTGAAAATTTATCCCTCATTTTGCAAAAGGAGCTGGCCACTGCAAGGTGTTTCTTGAATTGCTGTATATTCTTCTATAATATTTATCTAATAAGTTTAGTACATGATCAGCTTGGAGAGTATTTAGTAGAACATCTACCTGTATATTTAAAACATTATTACTATGTTAAGATATCCGTGGAAGACCATTAAGTTAATGTTGAGCAAAAACAATGTTACTTGTCTTGCATAACATTTGATATGTAAATTGCATGTGAGTAAATCATATTTAAAGTGTATTACAGTGGCTTAACAACCTAACAATATAGAGAAGCATTTTCAAAACAGTTTACTATACTTTTAATGTTTTGGAAATGCCACTGTGAAACAGGTGCTCTTGAAGAGAAATTCAGCCTAATTCTCATTTAACATTTGATGCAGGTGTGCCCATTTAGTTTGCGTGTGGTCAGTGTTGTGGGAATAACATACTTGCTGCCCCAGGAGGAGCAGCCCCTGTGCCACCCAACAGTAGAAAGGTAAACAAACAAAAATCACCTTCTAGAATTGCACATATGCTCATGTCTGATTTTAAGTGATGTCTGGTATAATTTCAACATAAATGTGTTAGGTTCTTTAGGCTTATTTAGAAATTAAGTACTTATTTTACTTTTGATTCATATTTGAGCATGATATGTTTCATGATCTTTCTTAAAATCAGAAAAGCCACGGAGGACTCATGTTAGGAAAGCAAATTAGTGTGTGCCTCAGGACTACAGATAAATTACTCTTTCGTATTCATCGGGATTGAAGTTTTCCAAAGTCACGTTCTAATCAGGCCACGTTCTTCCTTGAAACCCTTAAATGGTAACTTGTGGCCTAAAAGATAAAGCCTGAGTTTCCATAGTATATGAAGTTCTTCACAGTTTGAACTCTGATTACTTCCCTTTTGTCAGACCTTGCTGTTCCCCATTCCACTATCCTAAACTTTGAGCAGCATTGAAGTACTGATGATTGTTTGAACAGATGATGCTGTTTTATATGTGTGCCTTTGTGTGTGTGGTTTCCTCTGTCCACAGTTCCTTTTCTTAAAGCCTTTCTTTGCACTGTTCCTGCTTCTTTGCTGATAGAATTAATCACTCCATTCTGCTGTCTCTGTGCTTTCTATATACTTCTGTTATATTAATAAGAGTCTCTTATATTAGTAAAAAATTAATACTAGATATACAGTTGTCTTATGGTATATATGGGGGATTGGTTCCAGGACTCCCCGCATATGCCAAAATCTGCACATACTGAAGTACAGCAGTTGGCCCTGTGGAACTCACAGATACAGAAAACCAGCCCTCCATATATACAGTTTCACATCCTGCAAATTCTGTATTTTCAATCCATGTTTGGTTGAAAACAGTGTGCATATAAGTGTACCAGACCAGTTCAAACCCATGCGGTTCAAGGGCCAACTGTATGTATATATAGACACATAAATATAAAAACTCATATTATTTTTATTATGATTTTTTTCAACGAATACTGTAGTGTCTGCATTTCAGAATTTAAAAAAAAAAGTATACACTGTGTTCCTATTTGAAAACTCACTTTTTGGTTTTGGAGATGAGAGTTAATAGATTGATTAATGATCTAAACTGTTGCACAGCATAAAAAAGATTAGATGAGTAATATTAACTGAATGCCTGAAGAGTTTCTCAGGAGATGGCAATGAGCTGGTGAAGTCGGGAGAGAGGTGGCCTTACAGAGGAAGGGTGCAGTTTAGACATGGCGGGGAGGTGGACAGGTGTCTTAGCAGATTTGTTCCCAAGGAGTGTTGTCCAGTCTCTCTTTGGATGGGTGAGAAATTGGGCAAAAAGTTGGAAAGGTCATAAAGAATATCTGAGAGGGATTGTGGGCAGCCTATAATGTGATACTAAATTTCTTCCAATCTCTTTATTTCTATATTGGGCACTTTAACTTAAGAATTTTTTAGTCTATTTGGAACCTAGCTATTACATCTGTGGTTATAATGGTTTCACTAAAAACTTTTTCTGATGGGGAGCTATGATGAAGATTTTTAATGATCACATTATGATTTCAGGTAGGACATAACACATTTAAGTAAAACAGTTTATTTAGAAAAATGATATGTGGCTTTTCCCTTCCTTTCCCCCGTTCTATAGGGCATTAAAATCCTGTGGACCAGGTGGTACTGCTCATGTGAAATTAGTAGTAGAATGGGACAAGGAGACAAAAGATTTGTGAGTATCGTTTTACTTAGAATTTATAGAGTCATTGTTTTAATTATCATTTTAGGTAGTATATCTTTGGTCTTTCAAATTAGCTGAAACACAAGTATCTCCTTTGTTTAAGTATCCAGGTGTGTTGCTAAGCCTTTATTGAAGCAGTTTATTATTCCTTTCCTATACACTCTTTCTTCCCAATCTCAAAACCTTAGAACATTTATTCACTGCTGAAAGAGAAGCTATATATTCATTAACTACTGTATAGGTCTAATTTCCTTTATTTTTATTACAGACCCATTAATTCTAAGCAATGTCAGATGCATGCCCTTAGACATGAGAGACAAGAATATATGATTTAATTAGTATAAAGTTCACAGCCAGTCTCAGAAAAATCAACTCCAAGTCAGTTCTTGAAGTAACATTGTATACAGAGAACTTTTCAAGAATATTTTGGAACATGGAAAAGTTGGATCACTACTTTTGTTTTCTTACACATTGATCTTTTTGATTATGAATTTGTAGCTGTTTTGTGGAGCTGCACTTTTATTTTTGTGTCTGTCTTACAAGACATTCTCTGATAAATGCCCTTTCCCCTCTGATTGCAGCTTGTTTGTAAATACTGAAGATGAGTATATCCCTGATGCAGAAAGTGTCCGTCTGCAAAGAGAACGTCATCATCAGCCTCAAACCTGCACTTTATCTCAGTGTTTCCAACTCTACACCAAAGAGGAACGGGTAAGAGGTTGGGCAGTGTTTCTTGGGTGATCAGGGTGGAGGGAAGTGGGCATGGCAAGATGACAATGGAGAAACAAGTTATGCCCCAGACTGTTCCCCACGATTTTACATTTATGTAGGTTCTGCACACATAATGGGTGTCTTGGTGCTATTGCTTTTAGGACTTTAACAGAAAGTTGTTCAAGTTTCTAGAAAACCTTGGTTAATTGAAATGCTCTAGAAATAAACCTTTGTAGTTAATTCTTTTTAATAGTTATCGATCAGTTTTTTTTTTTTTAAACTAATAGATTTGAAATTATTTTCCTTAGTAACTAAAACAGTGATTCTCAACTGTTTGGTACTAAGAACATAGATGCCAGGACCTATTTAAATCTAAATCAATTAAAATAAAATAAAATAAATTCAGTTCCTTAGTTGCATTAGCCACATTTTATGTGTTCAGTAAACACATGGTGCTAGTGGTTCCTGTGTTGAACAGTGCAGGTATAGACAGAAAGTAGACAACAGTGGTCCAGCCACTTAGCAGATAATAGGGACTCAGTAAATATTTAAATGAATGATTAGACAGATAGATGGATAAATAAACCTCTGTGGTTGGGACCCCGGCCTTGTGTTTTCTTTATATACCTTGAAAAACCTTGACTGGAGTACCTGGAGTTTATATAATCTTGTATCAGTGTTTTGTATCATAATTTTGACTACTAGTTGTTATTCTTCACTCTGTTTATAGGGAATCATGCAATTTCAGGATTGGAGGGGACTGTGAAACTCCTTTGTTCTAATGGTTGGGTTCTTCTACCTAATTTCAAATTAGGTGATTGTTCAGCCTCTGTTTGAACATCTTTTGTTATGAGGTGTTTGCCTACTCAAGACTTTTGACACACCATTTTCTCTCTGGATATCTCTGATGGTGACAGAAATTAACCTGGAATATGTCCTTTGGTTACTGTGACCAACAGGTGTTCTTTCTCTTGAATTTATTAAGACTTAGAAGTCCTCATTATATTCTATTTGCTTATCCTTCAAATATTTGAAAATAGTTTTCATATTCTTTACTGAATCTTCTTTTCCCCAAGTTGTTCATAGCTAGTTCCTTTAACAATAGTTTTTCATAATGCATGGTTTTTTTGTTGTTGTTGTTTTCAGTTTTGGGCTCAATTTTAAAGTAGTCGACTTTGGAACTGGTTGATTGCACAGTTTGTTTGGTACCTTGTCCTATTTAGCTTTTTAAAAGAAAATTGACTTGGAAGATATTTGAGAATGACGGAAAGCTTAGAGGTGAGCAGATCTAGATGATAGCATTGGTATTCTACAAAACACCTCACTGATCTAGAATGCTAGCAAAGTACATTTTATAGGGGTTCATTCATTCAGTAGATGTTTGTTGAGTACTTACTCTGTGCTAGGTACTGCACCACTGTGGTTTATAGCAAGGACCAAAACAGACAATGTTTTTGCCCTCATGCTGTTACAGTCTATAGCGGGTAAACAAGTAAATAAAGGAAGCAAAGGTCCTGGGGTAGGAAGGACCTTATAGTAAATAAGCAGGTTTTTGTTTGTTTAAATTCCAGTGTATTACAAAAGAACACTTTTATAAAATACAGTAAGAATGTCATGACAATGTCTAGTAGCTATGATTGTTTCTAAAACACTTCTCTGACTTCAATACTGATCTCTCTCTAAACTGCTAAAAAGAGCAGTTGTGTGGTTGGTGCGGCTGAAACACAGAAATGAGCGCAGTGTGTCTGGAGCACAGGTTAGGGAGAGAGGTTAAGACAGTATAAGCAGATGCTCCATCTGTCTCGGTCACTGAATATTCCTAGTATCTAGAACAGTGCCTGGCACATAGAAAGTGTTCAGTAAATATGTACATTCTGGAATGAGTGAGCGGACTTGTTAAGTTCAGTATTGTGCCCCAAGATAATAGTGCAAATACAGAAGAGGAGAGGGTGAGACTCAAGTGGCCGTGTGACAGTAGCTTTGGGGTCTACAGCTTTAGTGTTGATCAGCATAGCCGTGTGGGTGTCAGCCACTGTCATGCTGCCTTGTGGGTAATTAGAAACTGTCCAGGACTCTGGTGGTGATAGAGCCACTCTTCTCATTGTGCTCACTGTTAAGAGAACAACCAACTGGGACACATCCAGAGAAAGTTGGTAAGGATGGTGCCTCTGGAAGTCATGATGGGGCTTGAGTGTGTTTTGACAAAGGAGGCCTTAACTAGGGATCTGACAGTTATTTTGAGGCACCTGAAGGACTGTCTTGTGGATGAGGGGGCTTAACTTAATTTTATGCAAAAAGTAGAATTTAAAGATTGGAAATTATAAGAAGAGTGATTCTGTCTTCATATGAGGATGAACTCTGTAGCAGACTGTCCAAGAGTGGAATGGGTGCCTGCTGAGAGAGCCCCTTGCACTTGTGAGGCAGAGTCAGCTCTACTGGTGATGTTTAAGTGTGGCCTGCAGGTCTGCATGCTCTTGTTAGCAGTTCACAGTGAGATCAGTATAGAAATCAGAGAAATGTTTTAGAAATCATCATAGCTATTAGACATTATCATGACATTCTTATTGTATTTTATAAAAATGTTCTTTTGTAATACATTGGAATTTAAAGAAATGAAAACCTGCTTCTTTACTACAAGCGCTGGGCAGCATGGCCACATATGTAGAATATTAAAATGTCACAGAGATGTGGACTTGCCAGATGACACTTGTTCCAGTCTGACCTTTTGATTCACTCCCACTCACCCAAACTCTGTCCCTCCCCATTTTCCTGACAAACATAATTGAGTCTCCTTGTCATGAAAAACATCTCCTCAGTTTGCTTCCCTTCGAAGTTACCATACCAGTCTTTCTCCTCTTTTCTGCCTAATTTTGCCATTAATGGTTTCAACTCTTTTCACTCACTCACTCACTCCAAAACCACTTGTGTGTCTGACTTGCAAGTATCATTTTGGATGTTGCTTTCTGATGTTCTCGGTGTCCCCAGTTTGCTCAGTTCAGTGGCCTCTGCTTAGTCTTTGTTTGACCTGTCTAGAGGATGGTGGCCCTCATGACTACCCATCTTGTCACCCTCTTTTCTTGGTATGCATAAAAGGGAAGGCTTCAGATTTGCCTGTTGTTCTGATTGTGCATCCTCAGGCTCTGCTGGGTTTCCAGTTTTGGTGTTTCCCTTAAAAATGGGCAGTCCCCAAGATCCTGTCCGTGGCTCCTTTCTCCCCCATCTCGGTGGGCATTGTCATCCTTTCCCAGGGCTTCTCTTACCTCATCATGTTGACAATCCCAGATCCGATGTATCCTCTGAACTTCAGAGTAGTTTAAATCTTTCACCTGTTGACACCTCTGACATGTCCCCATCTTGAAATCCTTCCTTGCAGAGATGATGTATGTGGACTTGGGACCTCAGATTGACATTGAGAAAGTTCTTGTTGATAGCAGGAGGGGAAGGACTGTTTAGAACAGTTTAATGCTTGGGGGAGAGAACAGTTAGGAGACTCGAAGAAGTCCAGGGAGAGAAGGCGTGAGGGTTCTGAATTAAGGTGGCGTTTGTGGGCATGGAGAGGAGGAGACAGTTGGGAGAAGCAGCAGAGAGATTTACTTCGGATGGACATGGAGCAGGAGGAAGAGGGAAGGGTTGGGGGTTTGGGATAACCCTCTGTGTTCTGCCTTTGGTGGGTGGTGGTGGTATTTGCTGAGGTAGGACATACAAGACATGGAGAAAGGAACCATGTTGATGGCAAGGTGACAAGTTAAGTTTGGGGGTTTGGGGGTATGCTGAGTACTCTGCTTCTGTGACATCTAACATCCGTTATACAATATTTACCAATTTAGCCACCCCTCTTTGAGGGATAATCTATTCAGCAAACCAAATATATTTAGAATTTGGTGCCAGCTCTGGCCTCTTCAATTGTGCAATTCCATTGACTGCCATCATATGCAGTTTCCGGAGAGATTCTGCGTTGTACCATGCCCTGGCTGAGACGTTAGTCTGGCTATGTCCCTTAACAAGGTCTTGCATTGAGTGGCGCTTCATGGAAGTCATGCTTTTTGTTTTCAGCTTGCCCCAGATGATGCCTGGCGTTGCCCACACTGTAAGCAGCTGCAGCAAGGGAGCATTACATTAAGCCTGTGGACTCTGCCTGATGTGCTTATTATACATCTAAAGAGATTTCGACAGGTAAGGAAATCCTCTGCAATAGGGAAAACATAGGGAAAAAACAGCCATGACCAGGCTTTTTATGCCCTCTGCTGATGGGCTAGGTGGAGTCTTTGGTGTCTCTGTTTGATTGACTCCTGTCTGTGTATGTTATAGACACATATTTGCCCCTATATTTGGGGTTGCATTTTGTTCTTTCTCAAAGCAAAATTTGACCATCCTGTGACCCTTTAAATCATAAATATTTTAGTTCATATTGCCTTTGTTCTTGAAGGTTTGCTTTAGATTTGTAAATGTTTGTGCCTAAATTTTGGTATGGTACTTTGGGATTTAAAAAAAAGTAAGTAGAGATCTTTTCTGGGGGAGGTAGATTCTATTTCTGTCTAATGTAATTAATGGGTGTTGTCCTGCTCCAAGAGGCTGTTGTATAGTTGGGGAAGATGAATCATAAATATACACAAAGAAAGTCTGCTTTGAGTTGTATTACTTTGTGAGTCGGTTTTTCCAAAAAGGCTGTCTATTCCCTGAGGTTAGGATTGTCCTAGACAGCCCCGTCGTAAGAGAGGTAAATGGGAAGTAAACATTGGCAGAGTCTGCAAGGCCTGATGTTAGAAAGGTTTGTACTGAAAGATGAGTAGGCTCTTCCCAGGCGAGGTGGGAGCAGGGATGCACGCATGGAATGGCATAGGGAGCAGTGTGTGTGCAAAGCCTGGTGCCCTGCGGGAGCATAGCACATACAAAAGGCGGAAAGTGGGCCAGCCCGGCTGGTGCCCCAGAGGGTGGGATGGTGGTGGGAATTGAGGTGGAAGAGGTGGCGGAGGCTGGTTGTCCTAGCAGACCCTTGTAACAGAGTTCTGTTACCTTAATGTTCAGGATTCCAATGAAGGGTTTTAAGCAGAAAAGCAGCACTACCAGATGTGCATATTGAAAAGACCATCTGGCTGTTGTGTGAAGACCAGATTAGAGGCTACAAAAATGAAGACAGGGAGACCTGAAGGAGGCCATTGCAGTCATCCAGGGGTGGGCTGCTAATGGTTTGGAACAGGGCTGTGGCAGTGGAGATGGGGAGACGTGGATAGATTCAAGAGATGTTTAGGACTAATGGAGAAAGCAGAGATGTCAGCGTTGGCACACACGATCCCACGGCCAGGACCTTTTCACAGAGGTTTGGGGTTCAGCTCTGATCATAGTGAAGAGTGGGTGTTGGCCTTCCCCTGCATACTTCCTTTGGGATCTGCAGGTAGAAAGGTGGTTGGGGGTTTGGGTCCCTGCCTTCTCTGTCTCCTTCCACTACTGCAGACTGATGTCCTCTGCTTTCTGTTTCTTTGGAAGGCACAGCATCGTCTTTCCAGCACCCTAGACTCAAACCTGCGGTGTGGTCTTTGACTGTCCCTCTCATCTAGGCAGTCACTTCCTCAACTTAGTTGTGCCTCTTCATTGCTTCCTTCTCCCCATTCTTGCTGTCACCCTGCCAGTTCAGACTTTTTGTTGCTTTTCAGCTGGTTCCAGTTGCAGTGTCCTTTAATTGATTTCTTAGCCTCCATTGCTCTCCCCTTTGTAACATGTTTTAGGCACTGCTTATATGGTTCTTCACCCACCACTCTGGGGACATCACCTCTACCATTAAAGCCTCAGTGCTTCCCCCTTAGTTACAAGAGTAATATCCAAATTCTTCAGCCTGGCCTTTCTGACCTTTGACAATCCATCCTCCCCTTCTTTTATCAACATTTTTCTTCCTTTAATAGATCCCTACATAGCTCCTCTGGGTGAGCATATCCATGCCTGATTAATTTTTTAAAGTTCCCATAGATTCGGGAAACGTTCTGTAAATATCTATTGAACTGAAGGTTGGATGTCAAAGGATTTTCCTATGGATTTAATGGAAAATACAGATTAGCCAAGATTATCAAATAGATGAATACATTAAGCTAAGTCAGTGTTAACTTTCAGTGTACTTGTTGGAGGAGTTGGGACTAAAGGGCCACTGCTTGTTGAATGGCTTTTCTGTGCCAGGCGCTGTGGTTTGCCTTTCACATAGTTGGCACTTCATTAATTTTCATGCCTCTGTGACAGACATATCGGAATGAATCACCTGGAATTGTATTTTTTGTAAGTCGAAAGTCTAAAAACCCTTTAATAGACAAGGAAATGAAGACTCAGGCTCATTTACCCGCTTTATGCAGTTCCTCACTGGTTCCACTTTTCGTGGTACTGAACCCCGTACCTCTAAATAGTTAAAAACTATTTGTCTGTTTCCCTGTTTTGTTATGTGTCTTGGGAAACATCAGATAGGTGACTCAAACCACTTTATCTGATAGGATCCACATTCCACCCTAAACGAATCTGCCCTCTGTTTGCATTAAAATATCATCAGAACTTGTTTTTCTTCTTGCAACAGGAAGGAGACAGGCGTATGAAACTTCAGAACATGGTCAAGTTCCCCTTGACTGGCCTGGACATGACACCTCATGTGGTTAAGAGAAGCCAGAGCAGCTGGAGTTTGCCATCCCATTGGTCCCCGTGGAGACGGCCCTATGGACTTGGAAGGGACCCTGAGGACTACATCTATGACCTGTATGCTGTGTGCAATCATCATGGCACCATGCAAGGGGGGCACTACACAGGTCTGCAGTGCGAGAGGCCGCGTGTCTGTGCTGGCGAGTCCTTCAGACGGGTTTGCTTGTGACAGAGTGACCTGGCTTTCGAGCCTCACTTTCCCTTCGGAGAGTCAGTGTGCCACCTCTGAGGGCAGTTTCCAGCCTCTAGATCTCTGTCCAAGAGCAAATAAACTAAAATGCTTCCTTTTCTTCCTGAGTCGGATTATCTAGTGGTTATCTGACTAGGGAATGGTGTGTGCAGATAACATTGTCTGATCAATGAGGATTCACTCTTTGTTCACCTAACTTGTACTCTCTACTTTTTTGAGGTTCTGACTTCTCCCTTATTTGGAAAGATTGTGAACCACTTTTTCTTTTTTCTTAAGAAATGAGGTCTAGCTATGTTGCCTAGGCTGGGGTGCAGTGGTTATTGACAGGTTTAATCATAGCTTACTACATTCTCAAAATCCTGGGCTCAAATGATCTTTCTGCCTCAGCATTCCAAGTAGCTGGTTGACAGGCACGCACCATTGCACCCGGCTTTTGGAACCACTTTTGTAGTAGTGTCTTTTCAGTGACTTGGAAGGGTTTTTCTTTTTGTGTTTTAAGGTTAAATATACTTTTTCATTTAAGGCTCACTGTAGCCTCAAACTCCTGACCTCAAGCGATCCTCCCACCTTCGTCTCCTAAAATGCTATTATTACAGGTGTGAGCCATCGTGCCTGGCCACATTTTCATTTATAAAAGTAACCGTCTTCATCATATGACATTTAGAGGCTAGAGGTGGAAAGAATACCATCACCTGTGAGCTTATCATGCAAAGATAACCCTTGATAACATTTTAAAAAATCGTGATAAAATATCCATAACAAAATTTAACCATGTTTACATTTACAGTTCAGTGGCATTAAGTATGCTCACATTGTTGTGCAACCGTCATCACTCTCCGTCTGCAGAACTTTTTTCATCTTCTCAAATGGAAACTCTAGACCTATTAAACACTAACTCTCTATTTCCCCCACTCCTCAGCCCCTGGCTACCACCATTCTACTTTTTGTCTCTATGAAATTGACCTCACTAGGAACCTCTCATAAATGGAATCATTCAGTATTTGTTCTTTTGTGACTGGTTTATTTCACTTAACATAATGTCTGTAAGGTTCATCCATGTTGGCATGTGTCAAAATGTCCTTTTTAAGGCTGAATGATGTTCCTTTGTATTAAATATGTAGGTAATATTTTGATATCTATAAGTTTTTGCCATTATTTTGCACTATCATGATTATATTGGTGTGTTTTGTTTACGTGAACATTTGTTGAGCACCTCATCTCTAGCTTGTACTGGGCTCTATGACATCAGAGATGAATAGTTCCCAATCTCTGTCTTCTGGGAGTATAATCAGTAGGCAGAGATGTAGGTACAAACACAATTTAAAAGGAGGAGTGACATATAATAGATTCTGTGGTGCAAGTGTGACCAGTGTGTAGAGGTGGGGACCAGAGGAGAAGAGGGGTCAGAGTGTGCTGGAGGGGCAGGAGAAGATTTGGGATTAGTAGCCTGCTGTCCACACTCCAGCACCTGATGGGCCAGCGAGTGGGTGGACAGGTAAACAGAATCGAGAAGAGAAGTGTTCAGAATCAGAGGAGTGCAGTGAGGTGCACAGAGCATGTACATGCGTCTGTGCCCTGAGCTTCACGCTTAGTATTGTAGCAAAAGTGTTTTGATGTTGGCCTTTAATTTTTATAAACACTATTTTTAATGACCACAGAATATTCTGTTGATAGATCTCTAATGTTATATAACCATTCCCCATTACTGGACATCTATATTGTTTCTGGTTTTTAACTTTTAATGTAACACTGTTGAATATCTCTGTGCATATTCACTTTCTAAATTTTAATTTGGTTAATTTCCTTGAGATTGAGTCTAAGAAAAGGAATTATTGGGTTTAAGGGCATGTGTGAGCCTTTTGGAGGCCAGGCGGATTTTAGGGCTTTGTCTATTTACATGGTGGTGGATATGAGGATAATACTATTAATTTGGTTACCTGTATGGGTAGCCAGGACTTGGATTTCTGCATCCTTCACACCCAGTGTATTACACATGTCTACTCTCAGGGAGTTTCTTCCTTCCTTCATTCAGTGGTTTCTGTAAGACCCGCTTCTCATGCTTAGGCCATACCACTGCTTTTCTAGTATGTAAAATGTTTAGAGTCTTGGTTTAGAGAACATTTTAAATACTCAGCATTGTTGAATTGAAGGTACTCTGTTTTTTTAAGTTTTCATTTGGAACATTTATCTTGATGTGTCCTTCATTTTGCACTTAGTGCTAGCTGTAAATCCATAGTATGTGTCCGGCTGATTCTAGAGCAGTGCTTCTCATACTATCTGTGATAAAGAACTTGTTTTCTTCTACCTTAAAATTTCCAGTCCTTCATGAACCAATACTTTTGTAAAAATACAATAAAAATTCTGTAGGAGTATCAGATTGCTATAAAAGTTTTTAAATGCTTATCTCCAATTTGGTGCTTCTCTTTGTGGGCTAGCTTCAGTCTGTAAGTCACAATTTGAGTAGCAGTGGCCTAGAAAATACTTCAGAAGATGGTGCTAGGAAGAAAAGCAAGTAGAATTATTTTGTAAATACATGTAGTTTACCCATTAATGAGTTACTGTGCTGCCTTAGTTTCCCCACTGTGACTGGGAACAGACTCTCCTGAAGAGAAACAGGCTGAAACTAGTGCAAGGTTGTCACCCTGTCTTGGACGTGTCCCCCACCCCCTACAGCTCTGCTCCCACTCTCCACTTCATCACTAGCTGGGTCATTTGTACGTCAAGCCTGGCCTGACACCATTGGCCAAACAATTCTTGTTTTTTTTTTTTTTATAGCTCCATTTGTTGCTTGTAGCCTCACTTATCTCCCTTTCCGGTTCTGGTGACTTCTTGGCTACAAATGACCTCTCTCCCTGCACTCATAGGTTATAATTCTGCTCTTTGGGGGGACCTGTCTGGTGCAGCCCTTCCTTGTCTGAGTCCCTTTGATCGCTTGAGGTAACATACCTGCAAAAGGAATTGTGGCCTATTGAAGGAGTCACTCCTGGTGGCTCCCAGGACCTTACATGCCCTGTCTCTGGAGTCATGCTGAGTCTATTCCAGCATTCAGCTAAATAGCACTCATTCATTCTCACCCCAATAAATGGATATTTTTAGAAAATGTGAGAATGTACCTTTCTCCATCAGGCTTGTAACACCCCTTGATAGATCCTTACAGGATGACTTGGCTTCATGAATTCTTTTGTCTGCTCTTGCTGGAACTTGAATGCTCTTTATTTCTAGCTGAGGCTTAGACTTTGAACTGGAGAGAGGGCCTCATGCATTTGTGAGCTACTCTGTTCTCAGTTTGCCAGGGAACTTCCATGGAGCATTGTTTGTGCTCCCCGCTGCGGGAAGCAGGTTAGGGTAGGGGTTTAAATGCAAGCTCAAGGACTAGATAAACTCAAAATGAGCCAGACTCTGCTATTCACCCACCACATGACCTTGGACAAGCCAGTTAATCTTTTTCATCCTCTGAAAATTGGGAGTCATAATGGCACAAATCTAAGGATTGAATGAGATGCTTGGGGTATAATAGGTATTAAACAAATATTAGCTGCTGCTATCATTAATATTGTTACTTCTGTTCATATTATTTTCTGTCTCTAATAGATCGTAAAATGTTACAACATGCTTAAATCAGAGTTTCTTAACCTTGGCACTGTTGACATTTTGGCTGGATAATTCTGTGTTGTGGATTGCTGTCCTGTATATTGTAGGATGTTTAGCAGCATCCCTGGCCTCTACCCACTAGAAGACAGTAGCACTCTTCCCCACCCCCCAGTTGGTGACAATAAAAAAATGTCTCCATTCTCCATTCATTGCCACATGTCCCCTGCAGGGCAAAATTGTCCGTGGTTGAGACCCACTGGTTTAAGTATATTGTGTTTTCTAAGATGAAATAGAACTGCATCTACTTGGAATAGTTTGGAATTTCGTGAAACATTTTGCCTGACTATGATATGGAATTTGAGATTTTTAAAAAAAATCTCTTCCCAGGTGACTACATGCAGCCTTAAAAAGTTCTTCATTTAGTTATATAAGCCAAAGAGATGGTGTCTGAGGGTGGGATGGAATGGCAGGTTCAGCCTACCCTGATACTAATGGTGGGCTCTCTTTGGCAGCATACTGTAAGAACTCTGTGGACGGCCTCTGGTATTGCTTCGATGACAGCGATGTGCAGCAGCTGTCGGAAGATGAGGTCTGCACGCAGACGGCCTACATCCTCTTCTACCAGAGGCGGACAGCCATACCGTCATGGTCGGCCAACAGCTCAGTGGCAGGTGAGGCTGACTATAATTCTTAGGCAGTTTCTTTCCAGAACAGATTATAATTAATGGTCCGGAGGACTTCTCTAGAGGGTCTCATGACTCTATCAGTTTAATCAGATTAATTCTCACATTTCCATTTAACCTGGAAACCAGAAAGATTGCAATCAAGGAAATGGTGGAGTGTGAGAGCAGCTGTGGACCAGCAGAGTTCACGTGGGGCCGGGGGTAGGACCTGGCTCAGAGAAAGCTCTTGAGGTTTCCTTGCAGAAAAAATGCACGAATGAGCTGAAAAGCAACATGGCATGCTACCCTGATGCCTTTCCCTTGGGTTATCCTAGAGCAAGGCCCATCTGAGCCATGAAGTTACCATCTGCAATATGGATGTAATAATAACACCTACCCCATGTGGTCATTGTAGGATCCAGTTAGGCAAATATATGTGAAAGCACCTTGTAAGAGGTAATGTACCACTACTAGAAATAGTCCATTTTTCCAATCCGAAGATTGGCCTATTCTGTTAGGGGAAGGATTGACAACTATAATAATGTTCGTTAGCTTGGGTTCAGCCTGATGGAATCTGTCCTGTTCTGTTTAATAAACACAGGAACCAGTGACCACACTTGCTGTGGATGCAGCCACACCTAATCCAAACAAGGGGATGCATGCTTCTTAATGTAGAGTTTGACTTTAAGAGAATATGACAGAGGACTGAGGCATGGTAATGTGTGATCAGGTTAATGAATATTAATCCTTGCTCCTCTCAAAGCTTGGAAGGGATGAGTTCAAAGCAGCTGAATGGAAGCATCTCTTCAGCAGGAAACCCCATCCAGTGTGTAGCTAGTCACTCACTCAAGAGAAAGTGGGCACTTTAATGGTATCATGCCTTCCCTCAGTGCTTGCCAGAGTCTGAAATATTCTCAGAAGTGGCGGCGTCTTGAGGTCTACTTGAGACAGTCATGCTGCTTCGTGTACTCAGTTTCAAGAGCAGTTTTTGTTGCCCTATTAAATATTTAAGACCATCCCAGAAACAGGACAGATTGACATAAAGCTGTGTGTGCATATGTGTATCATTAATATTATGGAAATGGTTAAAATTTCCTACAAAACAGGCTAAAAAAAAGTACACTGTCACTTGCTCTCTTCTCTGCATGTTAGAAGTATTACTGCAAGTGTTTAGAACAGTGCCTGGCATGTAGGTGCTTGATAAATATTTGTAGAATGAATGTGTGGATGATTGTCTGTTCCATTCTCTTGCCAATTCTTTTAATTCTTTTTTTGAGACAAGCACTATTACCCAGATGGAGTGCAGTGGCGTCAGCATAGCTCACAGCAACCTTAAACTCCTGGGCTCAAGCAGTCCTCTTGCCTCAGCTGGGACTCCAGGTGTGAGACACCACGCCGGCTAATTTTTCTTTTTTTATAAAGATGAGTTCTTGCTGTGTTGCTCAGGCTGGTCTCCAACTCCTGGGCTCAAGTCGTCCTCCTGGATTCGCCTCCCAAAGTGCAAGGATTATAGGAGTGAGCCTCTGTGCCCGTTCTCTCTTGCCAGTTCTTGGCATTATGGAGTGTTCATCCCTGTACTTGCATTTTAATACTATAAGAACCACATGTGCGGGAGTCTGCCTTCCATTTTTTCATCTTAACTGAGGATGTTCAGGTAGACCTGACACTACGTGGGGGCTGGAAGTTAATGCCGATCTTGGGGTGAGGACATCAGCCACCCCAGCTGAGCTCGCAGCACCTTCACGAGGGTATACGGCACAGGCTGGTCACGGGACCCTGGCCTGACCTTTGTCCCCGCTTCTTCCTTGGCAGGCTCAACGAGTTCTTCCTTGTGTGAACACTGGGTGAGCCGGCTCCCGGGGAGCAAGCCAGCCAGCGTGACCTCTGCAGCTTCCTCCAGACGCACCTCCCTGGCCTCGCTCTCAGAGTCCGTGGAGATGGCTGGGGAGAGGAGTGAAGATGACGGTGGGTGTGGTCTTTGGTGGCAGATTTCCAAAATGGTAACTCACAGACACAGACAGCAAAGGGTCCCTCCTGTTTAGGAGCTAAGTCCCAAGGACATTGCAGGAGAATGCAAAGAGCTCCAGAGGGTGGCGCTACATAGCTTCAGGTTACAATACTAAGAAGTAACATTTTATGTAAACAGGGTCATTTGCTTTTCCTCTGTGACCCAGGACTTGCTCCTCCCACTTCATTGTTTACCTCTCTTAAGGCCCAGTGTGGAGGCTGTGCTTTAATTTATTCAGAGTGCCTTTAGCTCAGAATAGCTGCAAGGGGCTCAGAGAGGTTGTGCTTTGCCCTAGGCTGGCTGGTGAGGGGTCGCTGTTCCAGACCTTGTGCTCCCATCTTTCCACCATGCTGCTGTCTGTGGAGGCAGCTGTGGCATGCTCTCTTTAGAAACATCTAGAACAAAAACTGTTGCCTTTGCATAAAGGTAGTTGTTAAGAATTCTGAAGAGAGTCATAATGTAAAACTTTGAAAATGTGATAAAAATTGAACTCTGCCTTTTTTTTGTTTTTTAAACTTTCACTTAACCACCTGAGTGATGGATAGCAGGACAGACCTGAGTTCTGACAGGGACCCCAGGTGGTGTGGGAGGATCAGGCAGCCAAAGTACGGGGAGCTGGAAGGAGGAGAGAGTGAGCTCAGCTTCCGTAATGAGCTAAGTGACTCATCTTTCAACAAGTCTCACTCTGGGGCCAGCATTTCGATTGCTGTAATCTGCTTCTAGCGGTGATGGATAATTCTGGGAAAAGGAAACGGAGTGAGAATTGTAGGAGATTGGAAGGAGAATGCCAGATGAGGAGATCTGCGCTGTAGCTCTAGCTCTGCGACCTCTTCTGGCTTATTGCTTTACGTGTAAAATAAGACCGTTGGAATATGATGGCTGCTCTCCTAGCTCCTTGCATTTTATGAAAAACTGACTAGGTGAACCTTTGCTTGTTTAGGTAGAGGTTATTTTCAACACATACTTTAAACTTAGAATTCACTGTCATTTTAATAAGAAGCCTAGATATGGTTTGCGGCTATTTTTAAACAGTGCAGTTGGTGAAATCAATATCCTCTCAAGCATCATCATCATATAATGGTGCTGAGTGGTGCCCACGGAACAGAGCCTATCTCCAAGGATCTTAGACAGCAGTTTATAAATACCACAGCTACAGTGTCAAGTATGTATGGAATTTAATTTAGAATATTTTCTTCGGAAGTTTTAAGCCACTCCAAAAAGGAGTGTATTGTTTTAATTATGAATATTTTCTTCGGAAGTTTTAAGCCACTCCAAAAAGGAGTGTATTGTTTTAATTATGAATATTTTCTTTGAAAGTTTTAAGTCACTCAGGATAGGAATATGTTGTATCCAGATCTCTTTGGTTCTTCTCACTGATCCACTTTTATAGTCAACAATTATGGGCCAGCTCACATGCGGTATTGAGGGGAGGTCAGGGGGTTATGGGTTCTGATGTTAGCTCTGCATTTAATTATTTGTATAATCTTGGTCAAGGACTTCACTTTTGTGAGCCTGAGATGTCCTTCAGTAAGGTAAAGAAGCTGGATCAGTAGCTCATGTTTAGTGAGCACTGGTGGAGTGCTAGGTGCCCTATTGGGCACAGGACTTTTAAGATTTTATTTAGTTCTCACAGTAGCCCTGTGAGTTATACCAGGGGTCAGCAAAGTACAGCCCACAGGCCAAATAGAGCCCGCTGCCTTTTTCATAAAAAAGGTTTTCTTGGACTACAGCTGTGCCCATTTGTTTCTGAGTCACCTGTGGTTGCTTTCATGCTACAGTGGCAGAGTAGAGTGGTTGGCCCGCAGAGCCTAACATCTTTACACCCTGGCCCTTTACAGGAAAAGTATGTTGCATCCTGATGTAGAGGAAGGAGGTGAAGAGAATAGTTTGCTGATCTTTGAGTTAGAATGTCCCTGTTTTATAGATAAAGGGAACTGGGCTCAGAGAAGTTGAAGCCACATGGGTGCTCCTTGACCCCACCTGGGCTGGCACTGAAGGTCATGTTCCTATCATTCCATGGCTTACCTTTGTTGCAGCTTCAGTATCTCAGGATATTACTAGAATGTTTTGTTGGTTTAGCTTAACAGTATTCTCTTTGCCATGTTCAGGAGGCTTTTCAACTCGACCGTTTGTAAGAAGTGTCCAGCGTCAGAGCTTGTCATCCAGATCTTCTGTCACCAGCCCCTTGGCCGTCAATGAAAATTGCATGAGACCTTCCTGGTCCCTGTCTGCTAAGCTGCAGATGCGCTCCAATTCTCCATCCCGATTCTCGGGGGACTCTCCAATTCACAGCTCTGCCTCCACCTTGGAGAAGATCGGGGAGGCGGTGGATGACAAGGTCTCCATCTCTTGCTTTGGTAGCTTGAGGAACCTTTCTAGCAGTTACCAGGAACCAAGCGATAGTCACAGTCGTCGTGAGCACAAGTCTGTGGGCCGGGCCCCTCTGGCTGTCATGGAAGGTGTGTTCAGAGATGAGTCGGACACCTGCAAATTGAACTCCAGTGTTGCAGATACTCAGAGCAAACACTCAGCACAAGGGGATCACTTGCCCCCTGTCTCTGATCCATTTGATAACAATAACCAGATTGCTTATGTAGATCAGAGCGATTCTGTAGACAGCTCTCCAGTCAAAGAGGCAAAACCCCCCAGCCGCCCAGGCTCACTGAAAAAGAAACCAGAGAGCACAACCAAGAGATCCCCCAGTTCCAAAGGTGGTACTGAGCCAGATAAAAGCTTGCGGAAGGGGAGACCAGCCTTGGCAAGCCAAGAATCATCTCTTTCAAGTACATCTCCTTCTTCTCCTCTTCCTGTAAAAGTTTCTCTAAAGCCTTCCCGCTCTCGAAGCAAAGCAGATTCCTCTTCCAGGGCCAGTGGAAGGCATTCATCCCCTGCCCTTGCCCAGTCCAAAAAGGAGTCATCACCCAAATCCCAGGACTCTGTGTCGTCTCCTTCACCGCAGAAGCAGAAGTCGGCTCCTGCCCTCGCTTACACTGCTTCTTCTACATCTGCCAAAAAAGCCTCGGGCCCTGCCACGAGGAGCCCCTTCCCTCCTGGGAAAAGCAGGACTTCAGACCGGAGCTTAAGCAGAGAGGGCTCTAGACAAAGCCTGGGTTCCGACAGAGCTAGCATCAGCTCCACCTCCAAGCCCAACTCCCCTCGCGTGAGCCAGGCCAGAGCTGGCGAGGGCAGAGGGGACGGGAAACACGTCAGGAGCTCGTCCATGGCCAGCCTGCGCTCTCCCAGCACGAGCGTGAGGTCTGGTCTGAAGAGGGACAGCAAGTCTGAGGACAAGGGGCTGTCTTTCTTCAAGTCAGCCTTGAGACAGAAGGAAACCCGGCGGTCAACTGATCTTGGCAAGACAACCTTGCTCTCTAAAAAGGGTAGCGGGAGCTCTGTCAAGTCAGTCTGTAAGAACGCTGTGGATGACAAGGCAGAGAAAGGCCACCAGCCTCCAGGTTCCCAGCAGCCAAATGCAAATGCAGTTGGAAAAGAGCAGCTTGTCTCCAAGGACCCTGCTTCTGCTAAACATTCCCTGCTGTCCACTCGCAAATCCAAGTCTTCCCAGCTAGATTCTGGAGTTCCCCCATCTCCTGGTGGCAGGCAGTCTGCTGAGAAATCCTCAAAAAAGTTATCTTCTAGCATGCAAACCTCTGCACGGCCTTCTCAAAAACCTCAGTGATATTTCTGCAATCCAAGTGTTTTATCTGTAAAGATGTTTATTTATTTAGATCCCCTCCCCACCCACCAGAGCCCTCTATGCTTTTGTTTTGTATTTTTTGGGTCACGTGCCTGATGTGTGTATGTGCGTTCTTGCGTGTGTGTGTGTGTATGTGTGTATGAGAGAGAGAGAGAGAGGAGAATTCAATTGCAAATTGTTAAAAGCGTCGCCTTATTCTGCCATTGAACCAAATAACAGCCATAGGCAAAGCATTGTTACCAAGCTAACTGGAATAATTGTAGATGATACCCTGGATGGTCCCTTCAGCAATTGTACATATTTCTTTCTAGAGAACTCTAATGACTTTCGTTGGACATGAGGGTTTTGAAACCTGTGAATCAGTTAAGCTATCCTTAGTGTAGAGAAGGGTGAATTATTCGACTTGGGTTTCTTCTGAGCTGGATTTGTCGTTACTGTGGATTGTCAGTTGGCACCAGGAGCTCTAAAAACTGTGACGCGAACAATGAAACCAGTGGAGGGAAAAATGTTGCTTGCTGCACTTTCGCCCCATCTACCAGTCTTTGTAAAGGGCAATATTTTAACACTAATGTTTCTCAGGTATATACTCAGCTAGTCTAGGCTGGATGCACATCAGTCAGTGGGTTAAAGAGGGAGGTGACATGTGGGTGACTGTCATTTTTCCTACTGCCACAGATAGACATTGTGGAGGTAGAAACAAAGCCTTTCGCTACCTTCATATTGCAGAGGTGTGTGCACCATCACCTGTCTTGACTTTTGGAATATGTCCTAAGAGGTGGCACATTGGATAGCCAGAAAGCTAGTCACTAGGAGTTAATTTTTTTTCCTTCTAAATTTACTAGGTAAGGCCATTGGGATTTTGCACTGTGGTAAGTAGAGGAGTTAACACCTTTGACAGATTCCTGGAAAAAAATGGATTCTTAACTCTGTACCATTTTCCTTCTCTGGTGTGCTTTTTTTCTGTTAGGTGTTAAAAGCTCCATGCTGTCCTGTGTTTGCATGCTCATGTTTCCTCGTCTCCTAACTTGGAGAAGAAAGAAATTACCTACTGCCAAAAGTCCACGATGGTACATTGAAGTGATGTGTAACAAAGTATTAGATACGCACTTCAGATCCTGCTTGTTAGTCTTAGTTATAATGCTTTTTAGTAACTCATTTCTTTCTTATTTGTGCTTAAGATTTGCTCTTATGCCCAGAACTTACAAGCAGGTTTTGGAGTATGTTCCATCTAGCAGTGTCAGTGCAAATTGCATTTCTTATCAAGGAAAAGTAGAATCTCACAATAGTCTCACAGATAAGCAAAATACATAGTTTTTCAAGCTTTTGGGAGGTCTCCTGGCAATAGTTTCCTGATGAATTTTTACCTTTTTTTTTCTTTTTCTATTTTTTTTAATGTCAAGAGAGTCATGGTCCTAATTCTCTTTGAATAGCATTTGTCACTTTGCCATAAAATACAGCATGCTAAGTTTATGTGCTTTTAAATATTAACTTTTTTTGTCATAAACTCTTGAAGTTCTTCCTGAACTGTTGGTGCACAGATCATTTATAATCTCCCTTTTCAGTATTGCTGTGTATGAAGTAACTACAACACATATGCATGCATAGCTATGAAATTCTGCACTGCCCTTTTTTTTCTCTTAATTTCTTTCCAAGAATACCTCTTGGGAAATATTTTTGGTAGGTTACTTTATTTTGCTGCTAATATGAGCATTGACCGGTAACTTGCAAGTCTGGAGGTCATTTATGTTGAGGGTAGCTGGAACTTTAGACCCTTGACAACATGTAAGACTTATCTTTTTAGCCTTGTGAAAGTTACCGTAGTGCTCTATGTAATTCATTAAACATGAGCCTGTTGCCAGTGGCACTCAGTCTTGTCCTCAATGCTTCACTAGGTGTCCTCATTTTATTGTACAGATTTCGGTGGTCTCCCACAGCAGCGTTACTGTCCCCTGCTGCAGTACGACTGCAGTGGCTGCCTTCGATACTGTCATTGCTTCCAACAGGCCTGATCAGTGTTTAGCCACTACTCTAGTTTTTTTTGTATCACTTTTATTTCTTGAAAAAGATGTACCAAATATGAGATCATCAATATCAGGAATTGAATATTTGTCTAATTTGAACCTCTCATCTTTGTTTTGTAGGTAGATCTCATTTGAAGTCTCCTATCTGAAGCTCTGAAACAGTCTTAGAATTATAGTTTGATTAGACAAAGGGCTTTAATAACATTTTTTTTTTCTGGCTATAGTCAGTTAAGCATTACTAAAAACTAGTTTAATTTTCACAGTGGTAAATATTTTTATTCTTGAGTCTTCTAGGAATAAATTTTCCGTGATGTCTAGTGTCTTTAAAAAAAAAAGCCTTCTACAAATTCCTTTAATTTTCCATGGCATCTAGAAATAAAATTTCAGTATCTATAAACCGTATGGCTTTTGAGTTTAGTCCTTATTTCAGAGGTAATATAAAAAATCAGGAAGTATTACTGTATTGTCTAGGCATCTTTAAGCTATTTCCTTGGTTGGTAAACAATGAAAATTTCATTATCCCTAACAACTAGGTATATAACTTTAAGCCACAAAAAAAGGATATTTTGCCCAAAAGTTTGGAGGTGCTCTTTGAGGTCTGAGGTGTCTTATGGAAAAAATTGTTACTTGGTTCCATTCAGTTCTTTGATAGGGTTAGGGACTTGGTGTGTGTTTGTTAATTTTCCAAGTGATACTTGGCACAGTGAAGATGTATGTGCTTTGTGTTAAAGATCACCTGCTAAGGATGGTAGGCCTGGGTTTCTGGTTGACAACCAGGTGGGCCTGATTAGAGCAATCATTTCCTGGTAGGTACAAAATAATCACCAAGAGTTGTGTTGCATCTGTGGTGTTTGTTTACTTTATCATATAAGTTTTATTCTTGATTCCTGTAAATATCCAGTGCACTGAGGCCGTCTTTCCTTAAGATGGCACCACAGCTTGGCACCTTGCCTTTGTAATCTCTTAGATAATGTAGAAGCACAAAGAAACCATTAAGCTCTGGTCATCTTAGAGCATCTCTCATCTCTTCTATATTTTCTCATCTTAAAAGCAGCCTAACTGAGAGTAATAATGTGCTGGACCAATAGAAATGGATGTGGGAGTAATTGTGGTATGGTAAGATATTGTAATTATCTGTGAGGCTGCCTTACACGCTTTTGCAATCATTGTTTCATCATTCATTTATTCTGCAAACATTCATTTAGGGCCTGCTTTGTGCTCAAAGGCAAGCAGAAAGCTTCAGGAATCTGCTGTAGCTAAGGAGCCCTGGGAGCACAGTTGATCGAGCAGGGGATGTGGTGATGTCCCAAATAGAGTGACAGTTGTGAACAAAAAGATCAGATGGGTTCTGGCCAATCAGCTAAGGCTTGTGGTTCTCTTGAGCAAGTCTGTTCTGTCTGGAAACCAAAGTGCCCTTCTTCCTCTTGGAGACATTTTATTCTTACATTCATGTTTTCAAACTGAGCTGTCTCTACTATTTGTAGTTGAAAATCATTCCATAGTCACTTCACATTAGAATTTGGTCATCTATGTTTGTGTGAGATGGAGGTGGGGATTTTGGGGGGGTAGTGTGGGGAAAATTGTCATCCTTCTAAATTAACTATCATGAAAAAAATAGGAACAGTATGTAAAGGGAACAGTAGCGGCAGCCTTCAGGGAAAATGGAGCCGAGAAGAGCTGTGAACAAAGCTCATTTACTTCAAATAAATGTGTTTCTTAAAAGATGAGCATCTGATGTTAAATTTCATTCTGAGAAATTAATGAACAGCTGAAGTTAATTTTTTCCTATGTAGGTTATTATAATTATTTGATACAAAGATAACTAGTGTTTCTGGGTTGGTTTTTGAGACAGTATGCAAAATCATAAGCACAGTTTTAATAAAACATTCTGGAGTCGCGTGGAACTTTGTGTTATTTGGAGTTGAGAAGGGCAAAATTTACTGACAAAAACCAGTGCCTATCATAAACAGAAAAAGCTGTTACTGTGCAGGCTGTCTTTGTCTTTAATTTCATAAAGGGTACATTATTGTTAAACCTGATGACGTAGTTTGAGGGGAAATGCACTGCTTTTATTTAAGTGACCGCTCATCTCACACTGCCTTCTGATCAACTTTCAAAGTGTTTATTTTTGCAGCTGCATTTTGAGCATGACTAATCATTTTTTTCCCCAACTAATGAAAACGATTTTGCATGGCCTCCACATAGCTCAGAAAGCATGCTCTTACTACCTATGCAGGCAACTAAGTAAAACAGAGAGACTACACTAAATGTTAAGTTTTTAAAAAAATAACTTTTAGATTACGGAGGTCTATTTTTAAATTTGTAATTTTTAAAATGTGACTTAATCATTAGTGTAGAGGAGCATGAATGTGATTTCTTGTTTTGCCCTGCATATGTTTCTCTTTGCTGATTATTTTGATCATTGGGGAGATTGTGCAAAACAGAGTATTTTGCAAGCAGGAATAGAATTGGATATGTTGAACATACATTGTTGGTGTATATACTGTATTTAGCCTGAAGACTTTCCTAAAGTATTTTGTTCTACAAATAACCTGCCATTTTTCTATAGATTTTAATTTTTTATATCTCCTAGGATTCTATTCTGGTCACAAGGAAAGAATGTGGCTTCAAGTAATGCTAACAATTTTGAAATGTTTTTGTAGAGACTTAGAGCTGTTTTGGAAAACTTTAGAGCTTCCCAACTACTGGTCACAATAAGACTAAGCCCATGGAATTTATAGTGTTGTACAGTGGATTAGGTTCTAGATCCATCTCACATTCATTTCAAACCAGTGTTTCCTAATTTTGGGGAGGAAGGGGGTTCATAGCAGACTTGAGAGGCTTTTTTGAATCTCACACATGTTCTCTGACTTGTCTGAGATTGTGAAGCCCAACATTCACTAGAATCATGCAAGGAATTTTTAGAAATACAGTGCCTGGGCCCCACTCCCAAGTTTTTGATCTAATTTAGTGTAGGGGCAGGTCACAGGAACTAGCATGTATTTTAAAGCTCTTGGGTCTCAATTTACAGTCAGAATTGAGGACCACTCTGATATACCTTTACTGAGAATTATGGCGAGAATCACTGCCTTGTGAGGTCCTTAGGAGTGACTCTGATTCCTCGTTTGTGTTGGAGAGACAAAAAAGAAAAAAAATTGAGAACTACTGATATCAAACTCCTGTTTGAAATAAGGGGCCTTTCTGACTCAAGGCCCAATTTGGGAGCTTGGAGCATTTTATGGGTGGGTGGCCTAGCACTTTCCAGTCTGGTGGGATTTGGTGGTCTTGGTTACAGGGGCAGGCAGAGTGCCCCGTGGGGGTCGTGCCTGTCCCCAGAGCTTTTGCCCTAGCATGCGGGAATAGGGAAGTCATTCTGAGTTAGAAAATGTTGAAGATGAAAACAGAAAACCACCTTTCTAGCCTTGGAAAACCTGTCCCTGCTTTTGACCTTTTTGTGGTAATTATAATAGCAAACCCCAGGCTGCCACTGCATTTCCTACTTAGCTTATTCTCTTCTATAGTTCTTATCCAGAATGTTGTTTCGGGACTTCTTTTTTAGTTTGAAAATGAATGTGAAGCATTTTATGTGGAGTCTTTTTTTTTTGGGGGGTGACTTTGTTGCATTTTTTCATGTTGTTTTTAAAAATCAAGTAACCACACGTCCAAAAACTTGGGACTGTATGTTACCTATGGAAGCAAATAAAATTGAGTTTTAATCTGTGGTGAGCTGAAAGCACTACAACATCTTCGAAATAATCTGTGTTCGGGTGGTTTCATCCTGCCTACAGGAAAAACCAAACAAACAAAAAACACACACACAACATACCTGGTGTTTTCAACATTTTAAGGAATAAAGATGTAGGTAAAAATCCGAGTCGGAAATGCTTCTTTTGAAAGGCCACCCAGAGTGGTGATACTGTTGCGGTTGTGAAAATGCAATATGAAATTTCCTAGGTGCTATTCTAAATGGTGTAGTGTCATTATACCAAATGGAAAGGCAGTTACAGTATTTCTGAAGTTGGAGTTCTCTGTGTAGGCCTTTCAGATATGTATTTGTGTTCCATATGGGTTTGCTCACCAACTGTGCCTCTCACCACTGGTTAAAATTGAATTTAGGCCCCATTTCAAAAATAGTTCTTGATTGAACTCTTCAGTTTTTACATGGGAATTCCTATAGTTGTCTTAAAAGCTGCATGTCATATCACTGTACACAGAAAGCGTTGGTATTATTCATACACCATTGATGGTGATTTCTGTGTAATTTTCCTTTTTAGTTGTACAGTAATATGGAAGGCAGATGTCTTTCCTAGAGGCTGGAAGAAAAGTGTATCATACATTTTAAATTATTTTAGAACAAGTGCATGAGATGTGTCACTGACTTCTGTTATTTATTTGTATGTTTTGTTTTTCAAAGTGTATGCACTTTTAAGAAGCAGAATTTATATTTTTATGTTTAAAACATTTTATTTCTGAAACAGCAGTTGGATATACAGTATACAGTTGGAATTAAGAGAAAGTGGAAAATGTAACAAAATATAATAAATTTATTACATGATGTCCTCTGCAAGCCACATTCCTCCTTTCTCCCCCTTGGTAGCCCATATCTTTTTGCTTTTGGTTAATAATATTTGTACTGCATCAATCTATACAAAATGCTTTAAAATTGCTATGTTAAAATTTAAAAAGCAAGTTACCTAAAGATGCATACAGATACTCTCAATGTAAAAGTTCAAAACAAAAAATCACATCCATGCTTATATAATTTTCAAAATCAGGGATTATTACTCCTACTTTGTCCATGACAGATCATAGCAATTCGTCATGGGCCGTGAATCTGGACAAAAACTCACATTCTGACTCAATTTCAACAGTCTTTTCAACATTTCATGTTATTTTCCCTCTTTTACCAGACTTGTGATGAGAGGAGATAGCAGTATAGAGGGAACTGTTCTTTTCTGAGCCTTCTCTCATCCCGGATATTTAGTATCTTCCTTTTTAACTATCCTTTTCTGATAACATTTTTCCAGCTATCTTTTCCGCCCTTCAGGATATAAGTCCCTATTGAGGCTGTCACATCACTTGTGGCCACGTGGGGGCACTAAAGATCGTCATTGTCAAGTGTATCTTACAGCCTGCAGGTTCTTAGTGTCTCTCCTCTGAGTGTGGAGATGCTTATTCAATATGAGTTGAGCACAGTGTCAGCAGGGGTTTCCATTTAGGTGAGTACTGCCAACCGTCATTTGCTCCCAGAAACTTGACTGCAGATCATAGAGCAGTTATTGTTTTCCTAAAGCACGGGATTGTGGTTTAGGGTTGGGGCAGGGAGATGATGTTCCTAACAGAGGACAAATGTGAACCACGTGCCATATACCTTAGGTATAGCACTTATACACCTCTCTAATTTGGTAAACTTTTGCTTTAGGTTCTATTAAAGAGTTTAAACATGTAGTACACTGATTATTCAAGAGGCTTCATTATGCCTGAAACTGTTGACATGTCATAAAATATGTAGATTTAATAGTTACGCAAATATTTAAGGATCATTTTGCCTGTCTCCTTAGAATTTGGAAGATTACTTTCAAATACTTGAGTGGTCAACATCTCTGAGCACTTTTCATGCCTCTGAAAATCTTTCCAAAGAAAGTAAAGGCATGATAAAGCTCTTTGGCCTGCGCCATATGCCCCTGCGTGTTACACTGGCCGGTGAGTGGTTCTGGGCCACTCTGACTCTGCAGGATGTGGCTGAGGCCTGCCTCCCACCTCCAGAATTCCCTTCCCCTTCCCCAGGGGGGTCTCCTGAGTCCTCCCTGGTGGATGTTTCAGTTTTCCCTTCTGAGGCCCTGTTCCCTTTCTTAGGTAACTCCACGTAGGTCTTTGGTAGCTTTCCTCTCTGGGCAGGTTGGATCTACATCATGCAGAACCCTCTGGAATTCAGTCTTGGTTTGGTCTGGTCTTAGCTATACTTTTTACTCCCTGCTGGCATTTGCTACACAGAGGACAGGGTTCTCCTCTCCCATGGTGATACATTTTTTCATGGTGCCATATAACGCAGTGGCCTTGTACCCTGTTCCTTAAGAGCTTTCAGGGATTTGACATTAATTTGATTTGTTCTTTGGATTTACAACAGCCTCATTTTTCTTGAAAGTGACAAGATTATGTGAGTGAGGCCACAGTGTTTAGTCAAAAATCAGGCCTCCCTGCTGCTGGTGGGGTCTTGGACATGCTGTGTCCAGCTTGCCTCTCTCCTGCACCTTTGCTTTGTTTAGGAAGACTCCATAGAGGCCCACAGTAGGCGCATCCAGTCCAGAGACTCAAGGGATGAGGATGTCAGGTACATTTTTCCCCTCTAAGAGTGTGGAGTGGATGGCATCCGGGGATTGTGCAGTGTGGGCCGAGGAAGGATGGTGCCAGCCTCAGGGTTCCAAGTTCACAAAAGGTGGTGGTGGGGAAGGTGCCACTTTACTGTCCTACTCAAAATCGAAGTCTGAGGTCCTTCATTCAGCAATGCCTCCTGTGTGCCCGGCTGCTGGGGATAGGGCCATGCCCTGAGGAGCTCACTGTCTAGGCAGCGGATCCAGGTAGTTAACAGGTAACAGTCAGTGAGTAAGCTGCTTACTCAGTGCTCTTCCCTCAGGGATTCTGCCTGGAACCCTTTTCTCTGAGATGCCTGCACGGCTCATTCCTTCACCTCCTTCATGTGTTTACTCAGATGCAACTTTCTCATCAGGGCCTTCCCTGACCAGCCCTTTAAAACACTGCAACCGCTTCACCCTCTCTGCTCCTTCCTACTTTATTTTCTGCACATCACTTATCCCCAACTACCGTAGTGCATATGTGAGCTCATCTGTGGCCTCCCTGATAGCAGGGAGGTTTGGCTTTTCTGTTTACTGCTCTTTTCCCAGCACCGAGTAGAGTGTCAGGCAAATAGCAGTTACTTAGTAAATGCTAGCTAAATTAGTATATTTACTTGGGTGATCTATTAGCCATTCTGAGCCCACCTTCCTATCCAGAAGATGGAGAATATTGGTGCTTGCATCATAACATGGTGAGGGATGACGCCTAAAAGCCTTTAGCACAGTGCTGACACAGAGAAAGCACTCAGTGGTGCCAGTTACAATCACAACAATAGTGATAGGGAGGAGGGGCTGAGCCTTATGGGGTCAGAGGAGGGGGCATTGGAGCATAACTCATATTCCAGGCAGGGGAACCCCTGGGAAGTAGGAAGTGTAGGGAGGCAGAGGCCTTATCTAGAGGGACCTTTTATGACCGACTACATTTGTCCTGAAGTATATGAGAATCTAGGAAGAGATCTAGTTTGTACCTTATAATAGTCACCATGATGACAATAGGGTGTCTGAAAGGCCAACAAGGAGCTTGTTGCAGGAATCTCGGTGCAGTTTGTGGAAGGGCTGACCTAAAGCAGTGCTGGGTGGAAGGAGAGGAAGGTAGCACCTGGGAAGGCAACATGCTAGGCCCTGGAGCAGCTGCTGGGTTCGAATCCTGGTCCGTTGACTTGCTAGCTGGACAACCTTGGGCACGCTGCTCAGCTTCTCTATGCCTCAACTTCTTCACCTGTAAAATGTGGATAATAATGATCACATGAGCATCGTGAGGCTTGATCAGGATGCCTGGTTTATTTACATTTAATATAATTACTAATGTATTTGGTTTTATGCACTATCTTACTGTTTCTTTGGTATTTGTCCCACCTATTTATTTTTCTTTTTGTACTTTTAGATATACCAAACATTTTTAAATTTCTAACTTTCCACCTGTTATTCTTTTATTATTCTTTTAGTGGTTATCCTTGTGATTTCAACATGCATTTTTTATTTATGAGGCTAAGAAAAATTAGTATTTTTCCCCCTTTTCAGGACTGTAGGACACTTTAACTCCATTTACTCTTTTTCACTAATTCCAACAAAAGCATGAATTTGTTGTCATGCATTTTATTTAGGTCATTAAATATGGAATATCTGATTTCTAATCAATGAATATGAATGTCTGATTTCTAATCAATTCATCGAATCAGTGAACTTTCACTGGGTATAGAATTCTGTGCTAAAATTTATTTTCTTTCCTTTTAATTCCATGGTCGTCTTCCTTTCATTGTTTATGTTGATAAGTCAGTTATTAGTCTTCTTGCTATCCCTTTGAAGATTTGGTTCTGGTTTTTCTTTTTTTTCCCTCAATGTATTGAAGATCCTTCTCTTTGTGCTTTCATCAGTTGTATTATGATGGGTCTGGGTGTGTTTTTTTCTTTTGCTTTTCTTCATTTCATAAATCAGACTTGGAATCTTCTCAGCCATTAATTCTTTGGAATATTGTTTCTGATACATTTTTCTATCCTCTTCTAAGACTCCAATTTCATGTATTTTAGACTTTTCCACCATGTTTCAAGTGTCACTTTTATACCTTTTTGTATTTTCTATTCTTTTTGATCCCCATACTGCAGTCTAGATATTTTCTACTGAATGAACCCTCTTTGCAGCTGTGTGTAGTCTTACCAGATGAAATGAAGGACATCTCATTGAATTTAGTTTGAATTTCAGATAAATATTGAATAATTTTTTAGTGTAAGCATGTCCAAAATTTTGAGACAGAGTCTCACTTTGTCACTCCAGCTAGAGTGCAGTGGTGTCTTCATAGCTCACTGCAATCTCTTAACTCCTGGGCTCAAGTGATCCTCCTTCCTCACCCTCCCAAGTAGCTGGGACTATAGGCATGTGCCACCATGCTTGGCTAATTTTTTGTAGAGACAGGGTCTCACTCTTGCTCAGGCTGGTCTTGAACTCCTGACCTCAAGCAGTCCTCCTGCCTTGGCTTCCCAGAGTGCTAGGATTATAGACGTGAGCCACCATGCACGGCCATGTCCAAAATTTTGAATCGGCATACTTATACTAAAAAGTTATTGTTTATCTGAAATTCCAATTTAACTGGGCATCCTTTGTTTTTGTTTGCCCAATCTGTCAACCGTAACTGTCCAATTTGCCATTAAACCCATCTAATTGTATTCGTAATTTCGGTTATTGTGTTTTTCAGGTCTACAATTTGCATTGAATTCTTTATAGATTCTAGATTTCTGGTGAAATTCTTCATTTGATTGTTTATTTTTTAAAAACATATTAGTTATTTTAAAGCCTGTGTCTGATAACACTAGCATCTAGTCACATAGATTTCTTTCTAATGTTTGTTTTTTTCTTTTGTTCTACTTCTTAATTTGCTTTTTGATTAAGTGCCGGGCAACATGTAGGAAAAAACGGGATAGGCTCTGGATGATGCCATTTTCCTCCAGAGAGAATGCACCCTATTCTCTGGTCAGCAGCTAGGGACTGAGCTGTCTCAGGGTTGGGCTGTGGTATTTTGTAAGACTGTGCCTGCCTTCAGGTCATCGCTTGTGAGATTGGCATTCATTCCACCATCCATTCAACAGTATTTGTGCAGCACCTGCTGTGCCAAGCACTGGTCTGGGGCTTGGATTACATCAGCAAATAAGACAATAAAAAAAACCCCTTCCCTAATGGAATTCGTCTTCTAGTTCACCTATCCTGAAGAGACAGAAA